CTTGTTTCTCTGCACCGGTCGACCGTTTTCATCCTCTGTACTACATGTTGTTTTAAAGCAGACTCACACCACAGAGAATTCAGAAAGGCCAATAAATAGGTTTATCTCTTGTTGAGCCACTAATTGGGCGCAGGGCTTTGCCCTGACCCTTTCAGTGCAAACAGCAGACCCACAGATGCCCTGCCTGTACTTTCCCCTCAGGCCCTCAACTTTATTTTTCCTCCATTGCCCAATGAGATCGCATAGGGGTACAGCATCAAGCTCTAGACCTCTACATCTGCCATATCAGCCTGTTAATTAACAGCAAACATCTGCTGGCTGTGGTGGAGAGGAACGAGAGGGTGAATCTGCAGAGGAAAGAGACTCAGAGCGAGGGAATAATCCCGGAGAGCTGAACCCTCTACAGACACATTGGTCTAGAGAGTCCTGCGCATAAAACTGCACTCCTGAGTGGAGGGACTGAAGAGAACAATGCAATATCATTTAGCGATTTTTTTTTCTTTTTTGCTGAAAACAGTCATGCACTGGAATATGCATGCCAAGAGTAAGGGTGTCTGAGATATTGGGCTCAGAGAGGTTGAATAAAACACACCTTTGGACAATCAAGAGACTCATAGGCATAACATGAATCAAACCAATCAGTTTGGCAGATCTCATCCTTTTTGAAAGTCATGTGTGCGTCTGCATTGCATGTACTACATCAGTCTTAAACAAAGAACGACAATTTCTTGGATGTATGTCCACAAAGTTTAGCAGATCTCATACCAACAATGGCATGAGTACAAACTGTATGAGTCAGATCAAATATCAAAGCCAATGGTGCACAGCAGAGCTAAACACGTTGAAAAGAGATAATGTTTAGGAGAAAAGTTTTCCCAATCGTGCTCTGACAAGGTGTAAACATACATGCAGTGTTAATATTTTTTTTAGGGGCCTTCATAGACCAGACTTTCATTTTCTTACCCGTGTAGATATTGATGTGCTCGTCTGTAAACCTGCCAAGCTTGTTTTTCTGATGTCTACCTTGTTCCCAACTGTGACCTATCCTCACAAAATCTATGTCCTTGTGCTGTTCACACAAAGCAGCTGCACAGAAAAACAGTCTATTCATTTCTTTTTTCAAATCAAAGTTTCTTGTCATTATTTTATGCAATATTTGTAACCTTATATAATTAAATCAATAGATAGGACAGAACCTTACTGTGATTTTTCTCTGAATTTCAGAAACAGAGAGAGCAGGGAGTTTGGGCTCAATCAGCCATGATTTGTGCTCAGACCAGTGAGCGTGGTATTGTTGGATAAAAGTGGACAGCCTCTGTCTCTGAAGCAATCTGATCAGTGAACCATAGCCCCTTACTTGCCCCCTGCCCCCTTACTTCTGTATCTGCTTATTGAATCAAATATTACAGTTCACCTCAGTACCTTTGTCTCTCTAAAGTTACACAATAAATCAGTAAATAAAATGTATGTATTCGTACTTGTATTTGTCCGATAATGAGTCAACTTTAAGGTTGTGTACTCCTTGATACATGCACTCTGCATGCAAAATTTAGCCATTTTCTTTCTTTTCTCTGTACCACTCAGTATTTCCTGGACTTCGTAATGCCTGTCTCCCTCTCTTAGACAGGTAAGAACACAGGCTGAATTTCCATCACACCTCAGTCATAAGAGTCAGTTCCCCATACTCAGGGCTCTGACAGGCTGACAATCTTCATTGCCGGTCTGTGCATCATATCAAAATACTGTGTCAAATTTTCCCTGCAAACTGACAATCAGGTTTTGTCACTTTGCCTCCTTCCCGAATCTCACCTACTTACAGTCCTGCTTGACGGGCAGTGCCAGGATAACAGTCTTTCAAAGCTCTTTAGCTCTCATCCAATGTCAGCTGAGATACAATAATGTCTACAAAAATGACAACCAACAAGGAGTAGAAGATTTTAACTTATCTTTTTTCACATCTGTGCCTGCAACCAAACAACTTTTGTCAACATCGCATTCCTGTGAAAAGCATTCAAAATCTAGGAACAGTGGAAAGTGTCACTGAGAGGTATCTGAGTTTTATTCTCAGTAGGAAAAGGTCATCCTATAAAAGTGAAATTTTTGTGTGGATATTTTGCATTAAAATTGTAAAAACAGGGCTATTTCTCTTGCTGCTTGGCTGACACCTACCACCTCACACCGATTCAAGACTTAAATATGAAAGTACAACCGTTGATAATTTGGTCGTTAATAGTTCTGTTTGCTTTTGTATAAAAATGCAAGCCAAATTTCAGTCTGTTTCATAAACATCAAAACTCCTCTTCTAAGAGCATGAATCATGTACAAGAGATGATAAGCAAAGCCCTCTTTGTCCACAGGGGGCGCCAGCATGAGTTACTTACACTACACTTAAATTTCCCAAGCTGTGTTGCATAATTCAATTATTCTAACAAATCCTGTATTTGAACAACCTCTGGAAACTTAAAAATGTATGAAAAGTGTTTTTATTCAAGTCTTTAAATTTGAGTATACTTAGTTGTGACCCTCTTGCTGCACATAATTTTTTTGACCGTTAATATTTTTTAATTCTAGTCCGAGCACAGCAACTTCAGAACAATACAACTCAAAATAGGAAGCCTTTATTGTTTTTTCCTTATTGTCTTTTATAAAGATAATTCATAACTGCAAAGCTAACACAGGGACATCTGCAGCCTCCTCCTTACACATTACATTAACTGTATTTAGACTGCTAAGCTGAGCTAGCTAACATTTATACATTCTAATCAACAAACAGTACGCACAGTTAACTTACCGACAAAACCACAGGTATCCTTTAACCCCCCAGGTCAGCTAGAGCATTTTATCACGGAACAACTTACTCTGTCAGTTTAATAACTGACAAAAATCAAGGGGAAAAAGCTGTATTGTTTCTCACGTTCCCACTCGAGCAGTGTTCCTTTTCAGTAAGGAAGTACGCAAAAAGAGCAGCTGTCAGTCATGATGAAAAATGACATAAAACATGATTTTTATAACTCTATCAACTCAAAACAAGAAGACTTACTTGAACGCAAGTCAGCCTAACAATGGCGCTGTATCTCTACAGCAACCAGGTCTAAAGAAAAAAAATTGTGCGATGATTATAATTTTCAAAGTTTGCCTGCAGCTCCGTCTGTTTTGCTGGAAGAGGCGGGGTTTATGACCCATACTGCAACCAGTCCACCAGGGGGTGCTGTTCTCACAGAGGCCTTACCCTGCGAGGAGGCAGATGATGTCCATTCTATATACAGTCTGTGGTGAAAAAGCTGAAACAGCCAAACACCAAACCATCAAAGCAGGCTGTGGCTCCACCATGCAGTTATTTGATATCCAAACCTAAAGGGAGAGATGAAAGCATTGTACCATATACAGTACACTCACCACATACATCAACTTTAATTTCGCACATGAGGGGGGTGTAAGTGGAAAATCAAAGTAAAGGATAATCTCGGCCTCAAGGCTTTAAACCGACACATCACCTGCCCTATATTATAAGAGCAGAGGTGTGGGTTTGACATCGCCTCCTTATTGTCAGCAGAAGTCCAAAACTGGACCTAGTGCTGACCTTTTTTAATTAACTTTTTGATAAAAACTGCAAGCTGTCACACTTTAATGCTTAGTTGTTGTGGCATGTTTTTCTTTATCTAACTTTGCATTCATGGACAAATAAGATTAGCAGGGATTGCAGTCAATTGCCTTGACAACATATACTGTACAGGGCACTGTAAAAACAAAGTCACGATAGGAAGTAAAATGAAGTGTAGCAACTTTAAAAATGTCCGTCCATTGCCCAGGGTCTTTTTAGCTGCTTTCTGGCTGCATGGTTGTTTGCTGTTTTGCTAATTTTGCTTTTGGAACAATTGAAAAACACCAAGTCATGACCTCAGAAATGGTTTATTGCTTCAGAAACCTGGTTTCATTCGTCACTTAGTCGGGCTCTTCACATAATTTATTGTTTCCCACAGAGACACTGACTGTTTTCAGAACTGCCTACTATACTAGCAGTGCATACTGATTTTTCCAAAATGCAGTACGCAAACAAATGCGAGAGTCATGGTATGCCGAGTGAACAGTGCTGTGATGCTAATCAAATACCCCCAGATCTACGAGTCATTGCATAAACGAAACATGTTTTAAAATCAGAATTTGCAAATCCCCAAAATTCAAACAAACAAACACACAACAAACAATATCATACTTTGTTTTATGAACCAATGGACAATACTGTTACATCATTTGCAAATGACCGGAGTGGGATGTACTTCCTTATACTGAAAATTGGGTCAAGCATACTAAAAAACAGCGGTTGAAAACAGCCAGAGTGTCTGTAAATGGCTCCACTGGTCTCTATGTATGGTACAGTGCTGTATGCTGTGGCTGATTATGGATGAGACACAGCTGGGTGAACAGGTGATTGGACCAGATGGTATCTGAGAGCGTAAAGTCACAGAGGAAAATTAGAGGGCACATGAGACATGGCAGGCAGGTCTGGAAAATTCCAGTGGACATGGTACAACTTTTCATTCAACTTGAGCTTAAAACTCATGATAGATGAGGTATAAACTGAAACAGTCAAAAATCAAACTCCTTGGAACAATAACTAATGACAAACTGGGTTAGAAAGCACACATAACTGCCTACTGCATACTCCTGCCAAATGCAGTAGGCAGTACAAACTGTGCACTGCATTCCAAAGTAGTGTGTAGTATGACTGCTAGTCAGTCTATTTTGTGTAGTATGCTTGGCCTGGTTTGGCTGGTTTTGGATGTACAGAATTACATTGTACCCTGGACAGCTGCAAACAGTGATACAGTACTGTCCATCTATTTGCGCACAGAAAACAGACAAGTGTTTCATTTGATTTTTCACAATTTTTTTAGCCCACAATCGACCATCAAAATGTGTTCCATCCATGCAACGGCTTGTAGATATGGTAGCATTCGATTCTCATCACAGCACTGTAAATGTAGCAGAGTTCATCCAAAGCGTAGGCATTGTGGAGAATATTTGCATCTGAATGCCTAAAATGCCCTGTTGTCCGGCTCTACATGAGGGATGGAGATTTAAAAAAGATTTCCATCTATCTCGGCAGACAGTTAATTCCTTGGTACACAAAAGACCATGGCTAGGGAAAGGACCTGGAGGTGGGGAGTTATCTCTACTGGCCACCTCATACTGGGTGGTGTCAGAGACCTTCAATCTCCTCATCACCGCTGTTCATGATGTGGTGCAGCTGGTCGCAGGCAGCATCACGTAGATCATGAAGAAGGTGGTGTATCTCCCTTCTGCTGCTGAGAGCATAAGGCAAGGCTTGGCTGGTTCTCGTGTCTTCAACAAAGTGGCTGGCAGCATTGATGGCTCCCCGGCCTAAGACGGATGGTGGAGGTATGTGGCAGTGGGGCGTGGTTCAGCTCAGCTGCAAGGGAGAGATGTGTGGGGAGGGCTTGTGGGAACAGAGCCAGAGCTCATTGACACAGGTGTGAGCTTGTGGCTGATTGCGCTCTTTCTTTGTCTCTCTGCAGTAGCATGCTGGACCCGGAGAAGCACACGTACACGGCAGGAGGCTCTTGGAGGAGCAGCTTTAGTTGTAGTTTAGTTTGGCCTGTGATTTACATGGCCGTTATGAGCCGTAAGGACAAAACAACAACAGTGACCTTAATATAATTTATTTTGCAAAAGTACATGTTAAAAGGGTAAAGATAAAAATTAGTGGCTCTTGAATTTATATTCTGGTGAAAGTGATGCAACTCCGCAACTTGGTAAACTCGACAACAAACTCTGACCAGGATTTTTATTCAAATTATTCACAAACAATATTTATTAAATGACCAGCAAAGAGGTCGTCACACTAGACTTCTCTGATAAAACCTCCAGATGTGAAGGTGGCGAGCTGTCCTCCCTTCACAGGATTTGCCTCATCCTTGCATCCATACAATAAAACATCCCATCGTAAAAATTTAAATAAAGGTACACCCACACACACATATACATCTATACGTCCCCCCCTCCACTTGCCATATATGCAATTTGCGACAAATGCAGGGTTTAAGCCTCAGCCCACACTCCATATTCTGTTCTGCTCTCCATTTCACAACCCATAGATTTCCTCAGACTAAAGCCTCTGAGAGCATATACACACAGAAGCTCTTACTATCTCCCCTTGTCATGATGATGGGCAATAATTTCCCATCCACATTACATAACTCTGATAAACCTCTTAAAACGCCATGCCTCTCAGTGTGGAAATTTCTAATCCCAGTGGATGCCTCAGCAGCAGGCCAGAGCCTGTTTTAATTTTCAATAACTGTTAACATTCGAACGTTTCACCGATGGTAGAGTTGAGACTTTTATCCAGAGTGTCTTGAAATGCTGCGTTTGAGCAGATCATTTGGCTGCCCTTTGCTTTCACAGCAGACACGAACGCAGCGGTAGCTGCCATCATAACAGACTTCAAAAGGAAGTTAAGACGTGCTGGTGACAGTTTATGAAGACAATGGAGAGAGAGGATTTTGTTTAACTGCAGAACTTACAGCAAGAAAGGCAAACCCCATTGTGATTTTTTTGTTTCTTTTTCATTCCTTTGTTTCCTTTCCTCTCCTCTGGATTTAATTTCAGCTTCCAGTTATTCCTTACGCCTTATTGCTCTCTCCCCATTCTACAGATTTAATGACTTTTTTCACTTGCCATTAATGTCACAATAAAGCAATAATAAATGTACAGAGTTGAATTACACGCATGCATGCACAGACTGCTCACATTTTCTTCGCATCCCCAGAGCCGTACCAACCTGATGTCACTTCCAAGTCTTCGAATAAAACCAGCGATGTTGGTTTAATGTGTCAGTATGTGATTCTTTCACTTGAAGATAAATGGTCACTGGTTGATGCATTATAGCTAATTGTTTTGATGCGGCAAGGAAATCGGTTGGGGTTGGTGGTTGAGGAAATGCATGGAATAATTTCTGAGCCCCTCTGGCTTCCATGTGACAATGCCAAAGCCTTTGGCAGTGACAGTCAACCTTCTTCTTGTTTAGCCACAGTTAGATATGAAGAGCTGCCAATCAAGACTTTTTTCCCAGCAGGTTTTCTTTGTTTTTTTTCCAACTCACAACAGCTCTGCTCCTGTCTTCTTCTGAGAGTCCGAAACATTTGCAGCAAATCAGATGATATGATTGAAGTCTACTGATCTTTAGCCAGGCTGACCTGATTGCAGATGCAATGATGAACCTTCTTATGCTTATACATGTTGACTTTTATGGACAGTGCACGGCCATCACAGAAGTCCAGATAAGTTCAGATCAGATCAGGCAGGCCAATCCCCCCAGTCACCCTTCTCTAAGTGTCTTCATCAAGTCTACCAGAACTATGAAGACCCCAGCTGGGATCCCTGCCAGAACTTCAACCAGAGGCTGTGTTCTCTGAACTGCTATTTGGTGCAAACACACACACACACACACACACACACACACACACACACACACACACACACACACACACACACACACACACACACACTCAGTCAGCACAGTTCATGGAGGTAAACCTGACCATACTTGGCCTGGCTGGGCCATCCAGTTGCGTGAATCACTTGCCGTTCCTTCCCACAACAGTCTGGACTTCGGCCAATTGGGAGTGTGTATTAGAAATCAGAAAATAACCGGGCCAATCAGTGACTGTGTTTCCACTGTTTCCCGGACAACAGGGAAAGGCAGCCCCTGATTGGTCCATGTGTAGATGGTGACGTCTAACACATGCTGTGGGACTTTTCAAAGCGCCGTTAATTCTACAGTTGACTTTGCAAAGTCGGCAGAAATCGTTTATATCCGCAGAAGAAGACATAAAAGGCATTGTTTGCTCGCACACGTTGAAATATTACCAAACCCTTACTTGATGCTTGAGAGCCCAGCAGGGAACACAGTTGCGCACTGTGATGATGTCAGATGTTTGGTTACAGTGATTGGTTTCAGTAGTCTGTCTATCAAGGAAAGTACTCCTGCCCACTTTTAGGGCTCCCAATGGGCTGAAGACTGTTGTGGGAAGGAACGCCAAGTGATTCATGCAACTGGATGGCCCAGCCAGGCTAGACCATACCTATCTGATACTACTCCAGTATGATAGCACAGCCATATGACAAGGTGTATCATGGTGCATTGAGATTTATAATAAATTGTGGCTTTTTTGCTTATCTGACCTTTGTATCTCTCTTGCAAAAAAGAGATCCCTGATTTTAATGGGACTAACCTGGCTTAAAAAAGCTCAATAAAGGTCACTTGATTACCGGTCTTTCCTTGAAGATTTACGACAGCTACGGCTGCAATTTTAAAGTGTATTACTCATACAAGTGCAAAATGTTAAGTAATGCTTTTTTATCCCACATCATGACTTCCATCTCAAATACCAACTGGTAGTTTTGGCACTTGAACACATCCAGACTTCAGTTTTCTGCATGGTTGCACAAAGTTACACAACCATAAGTGTTCACAAACTGAATTTGGAACTGTTAAAGGGCTGTTTCATTAACTTTAATTTGAAAGTTTTACCAAAAGTTTGATCTTTACTGAAGCTAATCAACAAATTATGAAGCTCTGAAATTGTTTTATTTAAGACTCAAGAAAACAAACCAACCTCCTTGTAAAACAAAAACAAACAACAAAAAAACTGTGTTAGAGCCCGTAGGACATACACAAAAATAAAAACAGACTCACTCAGAGAGGGGCTGCTGATGTTTTAGCTCTAAAAATGTATCTGTGAATGCTTGCTGCTTTTCCTCTCCTCACATGCTAACACACATTTATAGATCCCTGTATAGTGACGCGCCAAGTCAATTCAGTTTTAAAAAAGGGGCCTTTTAGCATATGCTGTCTGCCTTCCTGTGTCACTCACACATGCCTGCATCAGTAAAAATAGACTGGAGCTTGATGAATGTGCTCGCTGTTGTATTGAATCCTGGTGCTGAATGGTGGAAGCTATTGTTATCACTATAAAGGCCTTGAATGTTGCTGGGAGGGGGTAGGGTCTTTGGAATGATAAATGTACCAGACTGGGGAAAGTAATTATTCTACGGATGTAAAGTAATGTTGGAAACTCCTCCTAATCTTATCTATATAATGAAGAGAGAAAACAAAAAAGAAAGAGTAACAAGCAGACAGCACTCATCATTTCTCCAGACTGATAAGAGACAACTTCCTGTTTACTCAGTTTAAACATCACAACAAAAGTGTTCCAAAAAGAGATAATGGTTTAAAGTTCTTGAGGGTGTCACTGTTAATTATTTCAGTGTGCAAATTAATAATGATAATAATAAAAGATTGGTGTCTTTAAATGTAAAGTTTGAGTAACTAACTCGTTAAACATTATGTACCAGGAGAAGGCTGATAAGATAACACTGAAGTCTGGTCGGTCAAGCTTCAGGGTGGAGTGACCTCTCCCCCACTCATTGTAAATTCCACCTCAGTGCCAGCTAGACACAGCTGCACTGATAGTAAGTAATGTTGCAATGACAAACTCAGTGTTTGTCCCTGAAAAGTCCCTTAACTTTTTGTTGGCCATAAAATTTCCAAGTTGGAGTATAATTAAAGAAGACTCATTTGTCAATTATTGTTTTAAGGAAAGAGTGCATGAATTATTCACTACTATCAGGTTATTATGATATTAATTGTACGGCCATATATGGTCAAGCAACTTGTCTCTTACTTGTCTCCCTCCTTTTCACCCTCAACATGCTCCCCCTTGGCGATATCATTCAGAAACATGGGCTTAATGTTCACTGCTATGCTGACAACATCCAGATCTACAATTCCAACCACCTGGTCTACTTTCTCCACCTGCCTCACTAAAATGAATTCATGGATGTGAACCAACTTCCTTCAACTGAACTGCAGTAAATCTGACATTATAATCATTGGCCCCAAATCACTCACTAAACCCGCTCAGAACCTCTGCCTCAATTTTGATAATTCCACCCTCCCTCCATCATCCAGCATCCACAACCTCAGGTAATCTCTGATACCAACCTCTTTCCGCCCTTCACTCTCCTCCGCCGCTGAAACTCTGATCCATGCTTTTATCACATCCAGAATCAATTACTACAATAATATCTTGTCTGGTTCACCCTCCAACATTATCAATAAATTACAATACATCCAAATCTCTGCCGCTCGCCTCCTCACCCATACCCATTCACACGAACACATCACTCCAGTTCTCCATAACCTCCATTGGCTTCCTGTTCGCCAACACATTAAGTTTGAAACCCTTCTCCTCACCTTCAAAGCCCTCCATAATCAGCCCCCCTCCTACCCCACTGACCTGCTCCACCCCGCCGATCCTCAGACTCTAACCTTCTCACCCTGCTCTGAGGACCGAGCACTGGACCTGGGGGGACCAGACTTTCTCTATAGCGCTCTGGCACTCCCCTCACACATTCAGGACTGCACTGATGTATCAGAATTCACATCTCTCATAAGATAAGATATTCCCTTACCTGTTCAAATCCGCTTTGAGCCTGTCTTTTGATCTGTATTTACAAAGTCTTTAGGTGTTTTTATTCTATTTATTACTGTGTGTTGCTAAGTGCCATGAAAAGTGCTTTATAAATACGATGCGCTATTATTATTATTATTATTATTATTATTATTATTAAGGATAAATATGAAGTCAGAGGGATGGCCCATCAGAGCTGACCTTGTATTACCCTGCCCTTCCTTGCTCGTGTACTGTTAATGTAATTTCCTCCCGATAGAGTTCAACGTAAGATAGTCAATGACAGCCATCATAGTCTTCTGAGTCTTTTGTGTCTGAGAGTCGGGTTGTTTATAAATTCGATTACAGGCAAAAGACAGATGCCTGGTCTTCCATAAACAGCACTCCTGTCTGCTTAAGGCTCACATTTTCTTGTTGTCTGTGATGCTGTGTGTACATCACATTTTAAGCCGTTTCCAACCTCTTCAACTCTGGGTTTTCCTTTTTTGCCCCGCTCAAACTCTAAAGCAAAATTTCCCTGATTTCTGCTAAGTTATCGTAATTAACTTTAGTTCAACTGCATGAATAAAGTACACTTTGCAAAACAATATCACAACATACTGAAGAACAGAGTAATCTACATGATACACAAAGTCTATTCTGGTTCAGAGGTCATTCATTGATTAATCTTAGTTGAATGATTCAACATTTACATTTGAAATTGATTGGTGGTATTTTAATCATGACTACTCACCACCACTCACTCACTCACTGCAAATAGCCCAGCATGGCTCACAGACTGGATTTATTTGACATCACCACCCCTACATCTCTGATTATAAATAAGTCTTATACATGAGTCACCCAACTTCATTGACTTGATTGTGATTCACCTGCACGGGCCTGACTCTTTGGTTGGTGATTGGTCCATGACAAACCGTGACTCAGAAGCTTAAGGTCACCATGTTTTCCTTCCACCTTTGAAACAGCTTGACTTCCGTCTTTTATAGGTTATCTACAGTGAGCACACAGTGGGTTCACATGTGCTGTATGATTGATATTGTAATATGAATAATAGTATCACCAGGGAAATGCCATGTTTGTTAATAAACAGGTGTGAAGTCGTGCGTATGCAGTTGTGTACTTTGGTCTCAAACTAACCTCCTAAAGACTTTACCACTGAAAACCACTGACCCATAATCTGCTTTGATCCATTTGGGGACACGGCTTTTGGCCCTGATTGGACAAGCCGTCTCCAATTAACTGGTGTTTAGTGAGAGAGTGTGCTAAATCCCCCTCACAGTCAGGCTCCTCTTCTGACCCTGTGACCTGCGGCTGCCTGGTAAAAGGTGACTTCAACGTCTAATAGCCTGAAAAACATTCTGGAGACAGAGTCCAGCTGATTAAGTAAGTGCTGCTCCTCAGCTTATTTTCCTCACTGTGTGAAAGCTCTGCGGACAATCATTAAAAACACTCTCTAACACTTGGTGTCCCAAAATAAGTGAGACCACAGTTATTATTGTACCACTCCATCTCTGCATTTGTTTAACCACCTGTAGGGAACTGAGAATGAGCTTACTTGGACCTGCATTTTGACCCGTAAATAGCTGATGTTTTAAAAAATTTGTGCATTTGCACTCAAATTTTTCTTGATTATTACTTTTCGATCCAGTTTAGCACCTGGACCTGAACAGATATCCAAATCTGGGTCAAAGGTCTCTTGGTTAATTAGGGGCAATTAGGAGCACCTGTGATTTTCTTTTGTTGAAAGCGATCAGTTCAGGCTGGGAGGCTATAAAAGGAGGCTGAGCTCTCCTGTTCGGGATTTTTGCTCCTCTGAATCAACACTTCCAAGAGATTTCTGTGTTTGTTGTATTTCCTCCCAGATCTTTGACTTCCCTTTTTTTATATTGTTGTTTTGGGTCCAGTCTTATGGGCCCATTTTGCTTTCAGTTCAACCCCTCCATATCAGCTCCTCCCTGGATGCGTTAGTTACTCCTGTTGCATTCCTACATCTCTTGAGAGCAATGATTTCCAAAAGGACTGTCAAGTTTCCATTCATCAGACCGCAGGATTTTCCATCTCATTTAGTCCATCTTAAATAAGCTTTGGCTCCAAAGTCGTTTACTTTTCTGAGTCATGTCTAAAGATTTCATGAATGCATCAACAAGTTGTGGTTTTGAGCCCATGCAGTGATTCCCACTGCAGAGTCATTTATGTTTTCAAAGCCGTACACCCTGAGGACCTGTAGATTTTCAATCTTGTGCACATTGTACAAAGATTTCTTCAGCTACTTTGAACCGTTCAGTAATTTTTAAGTACTTTAGGTGGTGAAATCCCCAAACTCTTTGTAAGAGAACGTGTAGACGAAAGTTCAGCAGTTTCGGAATGATGTTTTTCAGCATAAAAATACTTCTCTTCATGTTTTGAAGGACTCAAACCCCCCTGAAATACACTTTATGCCGAGACCTTTCACTTGTGTCCTAAATTAACAGTATGACAATGGTAACTTGCAAAATTGCTTTAGTGTTTTGTTTTGCCACATATGAAGACAAACTTAGCAAAGAGTTAAGAGGTAACCGCAAGATGTGAACCATGAAGTTCCTCCCACAAGAGCTATATAAGGAAAATTTTATTCACTGCTTTGTTTGCTCAGTTAGATAACATTTTAATTCTGCTCTTTCCATGGTGCTTCCTACCTCATCTCCCTGAGCAGATTTGTTAACTCCACATGGTAATTACACAGCTCATGGTCTCATGACGGTCTCTGCCATCATATCTGACACTTCTGCCCTCCCAGGTGCTGACACAGAGCAGCGCCCTCACACCGCGAGGTGCTGACACCGACATATGCTCTTTTGTGAAAAAGGATTCCTTCGTGGTCTCCTCCTTCGTCCCTGCTGCAGGTGGATCAGACATCACAGTGCTTTTCTAATCGAACTTAATCTCTCTGCCTCTCAGCAGCTTGACCTTGACTTTCACATGCACCGTAGGCGCTTGTAGCATGCAGTGGGTATTATAGATTTGTCATTTATTTGCTCATTAATCATCTCCACACCCCAGCACAGTTAGGATATCCATGAGAAGCTTTCGTGGCATACATACTCATGCAGACAAGCCTGGATAAACAGTCTCCTATGATCTATCTCCACCATCGCCATCTCTATGCAGGTACACAACCATAAGCATGTTTACTGACGCCTCCATAAACAAAGGCCCAAAATAAATAGGCCATGCATTATTTCAGCCAGATACACGGCTTACACATGTAATCCGACTGTCATGTTCTTGTGCACGCTCTCCATCAACATGAAACGATAAATAGGGGATGGTTGCATAGAGGTGATCATGTAAACAAAAGGAGAGGATGCTTATTAAGAGACAACTGGTGGAGAGGTCTAATGTAAGAGTCAGGAGGGAGGTTTTAAGCTAAATAAGGAGATGAGACAGGGTATGGATATAGATTTCTTCACTCTGCAGCCTGTCTTGGTTACCACCTCCAGTTTAAGAAGTTTGGTTTACTGCATCTTTGTTAGTTATTTGTACTTCTCTTTTTCAATCCTACGAAAGTATGCAAAGGAACACAATATTGAATTATTATTTAATTATTGTTATTGAATTACCCTCCGGGAATCAATTAAGTTCTCCTTCTTCTCTTTATTCATCTCCAGCATAGATGCAATCAGACTTAAAAGAACCTGCATGCATGCTGGTTTTAATGTACCTTACAAGACTTATGATGCACCACCACCATGCAGCCCAGATTGGTACAGAAAACCTTGATCTTGCTTGTGTTTTCACTGCAGACTGTTTCCCATCCTGGCTCTTGAATATGTGACTGCTTCAGAATGGCACAAATTTTGGCATTCATGTCAGCTGATTGGACTATTCAAACTAACAACATGAGTAACATCCAATTAGTGTAGATCTTGACTTAAGACAGACAATAATTTACCCACGGGCTATTGGTTTCATTCAATCTGTATTCAGCTATTTATGTCACAAACATAAAAAAAGAGACTCCCTGTGCTTCTATTATTAAGTTATTTCTAAGACGTTTAATGTTTATCATTTTCTATCACAGCTCTTATCTGCATCTAACTCTATGCCTCTACTGCTGTGCATACATGGAGCATCCATTAATATGCCATACAGCTCCTAAAACTATGTATATTTCACAAAGCATGAATAAAAAAAATAGTGCTCCTCTGAAATACTTTTCAAAATAAAACCCCAGTCTTTGTTTTTCTGTGGAGAGACTCCTATTGTTTTTTGTGCAATGGTTATATTCTGGAGTTGTTTCTTTGTCATAATTTGGTGAAAGAAGTAACATTTACAATGTCTCATCTTTTGCAATCTCCTTCTCCACTCGCATCGATCTCTGTGCTCCTTTGTGTGGATATGCACTGTTTATACCCCACCACCACCACTTTTGCAGAACTTTACAAAATAAAGTTCTGAACTGTTCTTTTATTTTTTTTTTATCTAAGGAGAGATTTTTTTTTTCTTTCATATGGAGATTTTACTCTGAAGTTGTTTCCGGGACACTTATTTGGTGAAAACAGGACATTGACATTGTGACCACCTTTTCTATTTGCATCCAACAATAGACTGTATATAGAATGGACGCCGTCTGCGTGTCATTGCACCTCATATAGAGAAGCCATCATGTTATATTGTAGTAGCTTTTGCATATGGACCGAGGTGAGTCTGGTGATCATTTTCTGCTTTTTCAATGTTAGCCACCATTTTTCATTATAAACTGAGCATCAGGATCCAGTGAAGGTGAACTAAAAGCTTATTAGTGTAGCTGTTCAAGGGCTCAGTAAGGGGGCTGGTGTTTTGTGCCTGGCTAATTGCTTACAATAAAGTCCAACATTTTCTTATTGATAAAAAAAAAGTTCTGGGAGTTTGTGTTGATCAAGAAAGACCCAGACGAAAGAAAGTCCCAGAAGTTTCTACCAAAAAAAAAAAAAAGATGAACAACAAAGAGAGGCGACACAGGCAAGACTTCCCGTCTTGCTTGTTTGTCGTGTCTAATTCTTTCCTGTCTAACTGGAGGCGAGGTGTTTAATTCTGTAAGCGTGGAAATTCTCTTTTGAATCCATTTCAAGCTGAGATAAGAGGTCAGGAGAAGTTGTTCAGTCTCTTATCTCCCCCACAAACTTTGAAGTATCAGGGCTTACATCATCACCACACGGCGCATTTACATCAAACTTTGTAAATTTTTCGGGTTCAGTGGTCTGCAGGATGAAGAGAATCTGTAGGAGTGAAGAAGTTGCGGTGAAGGGAGAGTAGGGGATGTGTGACAGTGACCTCCCTGTGGCTCTGACCATCCTTTTCCACCTCATTTATCTCTCCACAGCCTGACTGAGGATTTATCCACCTGATTACCCAGCGGGTATCCCACCCATCTATCCCCTCCTCGCCCTGTTACGCTCAGCAGGGACATCTCAGGGTTTCAGTCCGTGACACAGAGCTCAGTGCAGAATTAGCTGCTTCTAAAATCAGGAACTCTGGAGTTAAAAACTGGTCAAGGTTTTACTTTTTTTAAGCAGAGCTCTGTGTTTACAACTCGGCATACAAAAAAATGCACGTTATTGCAGTCTTTGTTGATTGTAAGTGTTTTCTAATCAATTTAGACCTTTTGACAAAATCTACTCTGGCTAAAGTGAAGACATCCATCTGCTTCTTGTCCACAGTTGAAAGAAGGCTGGACCCAATCAGCTGCCACTGGCTGAGAGGTGCAGTACACACTGCATAGATCAGCGGTCTATCACAGGGCTGAATCAGAGAGATAAACAACCAGAAGCCCTCAAACTCACACCAATGAGCAATCAGAAGCCACTGATCGACCTCACAAGGATGTCTTTAGGCAGTGTGAGAGAGCCGTAGTATGCAGAGACAACCCATCGTGAACGTGCTCCACACAGCTGTAAAACCACAGGACCAACCACATCACTGTTGTGCAGTTTAGAATCTCTTCAATTTTACTCTGTTTTAAAGTACTCCTTATAAGGTGCTTTATGGCACCGATTAGGTTCCAATCCCTTAGCACATTTAAGTGGCAGTTTCAAGCTCCCCCTAAGGTACCCCTTTAAGGTCTCCGAATGGTTTTCAGATACCTTTGTAGCTTATTTTAAATACCCTTTAAGCATCATTTACAGTATCCTGGCAGTATAAAGGCACATTTAAAGAACTGCTTTCGACTTTTATTCCATGGCCTCCCTTGATGAAATTTTAAAAGATTGTTAAGAACTAATTGCATGCCCTCCTTTTCTGGCAGCTTTAGAGGAACCAGTAGGCAGACGTCCTTTACTCCTAACCAGCTGTTTTTCTGTTTTGTTTGACTCATTTAATCTGGATTAAGGTACCCCTAAAAACTGATTCATGGTACCCTTCGGCAATAGTTTTTAGCAGCCCCTTTAGCAGTCACCTATCAGTAGCTTCTTTTATGTAAACCTTTAGTTAAAGTTGGATGGCACACACAGGAAACAGTTTTGAGGTACCTTGTAAATAAAAAGTCAATGGTACCCTAAAGTTTTAGGTTACCCATTGTAACTGTTTGTCATAAAACATTGTCTATACTGGCAACTGATGTCCACATACTTAAATTTTTCCAGAAGACAGGGGTACAACATGAGGACTACTGTAAAAAAAAAAAAATAATAATATATATATATATATACATATATATGTATATATATATATATATGACAATATAAATGTATTAATAAAGAAAATGACAATAAAACAACATTATGTTGCAACAACATTAAGTTAAACAACTCTAAAATAACTCAAATAACTGTGTTCACCAACAAGAAGGACAAAGTAAAGTCAGGATCATGAGGTTCACAATTTTCCTCCATCAGTCTCTTCCTCTGACATTTACGTGATACTCAATAAAACTTTATTAGCCGGGATGAAGAGTTAGTTGCGGTCAGTTACACCCAACAGCTCATTTATACCCTCAAAAAATTCGTTGGATGGTCTCCTACTGTGAAATGTCTGATTAAACATTTAGCTGTTTTAAGGTACTATCCCAAACTAGATTCAAAAAATCTGCCTTAGATCCCCATTCAATGACTTGTGTGTCACTATGATATAGTTTTATACCATCTAACTCCCCCATCTACAGCAAGAAAAATACTCTTAATAAATCAGTCAGTTGGGCCACAGTGTTTTGATCTACTGTTCTTCACTGACATGTTCTTATACTAACATCCTTGATCTTAAGAAAATGGTTGTTGAATTATGACCAAACTGTTTGTGTTTAATGTTGTTGGAGGCCACTCTAGAGAGACGGCAAATATTTATGTCGCTAACTGGAACACAAGCTCTGAAATTGTATGTGTGATGTTCTGAAGGGCACCAAATGTATTTTGAAGCTTAATTATAAAAAGGTTGTTGTGCCAAACCTGGAGTCATGTTGTGTGTAAAGCTTGTTTGGTGGCTCAAAGTGTCCAATCCTTTTCAAAATAACCCAGAGTGTCACTTTTAGGTCGATACCTATGTGAATTCATCCATTTAGCAGCAAAGTAGGGACATCTGAATTGATTTATAGTCCCTAGATAAATGCAAAACCAATTTTTAGTCTCCTTTTAGCCTTGTTGTGGCCTCAATCATCCACTGGGTGAAAAAGCCGACCTTAGAGGTGCTATCTTCTCCTGTAGACCTGTAAGTAATCTCGACAAAATCCACCCAAGCCAAGAGGACCCAGTCTTGGCAGGAAAACCACACACAGTTCGTTCTCTCAATTCTTTTTCAGTCGCCAAAACCACTGGACCAAATAAAACTATATCCCAAAATGAGTTTTAAAAAATAAATTCAATCTAAGCATTGAAAAGACATGTATTCCATATTTTTGTCTCTTTCTACTGCACCAGCCACTTCCTGTGCTTAATTAGTGAGTAGAGTCTTCCTGCAAAGCAATGTATCTGCCACATGCTTGTGATTAAGGCAGCAATTAGGTAAATATTGGTTTTGTGTATAAAAACTGAGGTCAAACATCAAATCAGATAAGGTCAAATGCAATGAACATGCAATCTGTGCAAGAAAAATCTGCTTGTTAATTGTATAAGTTTTGCAGTCACTTTACATCTTATGAGTTAAAATATTCCCACCAGTGCGCACTAGTATTGTACAAATCATACAGAGTAATACAAATCAATGAGGAAAAAGGGAGTCTTCAACATCTTCATTAAGGAGAACAGCGCTCCAGCCTGTGTTTCAGGCCCGGTTTGGGATTTGTCCAACTAATGTGAGCACATTGTTACATAAAATGAGTGTTTCAGATGTAAATGGAGGCAAGAGGTGAGGCAGCAGCCTTGTGCAGACAGTTGTGGTGCAGACGCAGAGAGGACGAGGCCCCTGGAGGAGGTAGAGCTGAGAGTTAATGATCTTTCTGTATGCAAAGGCCACGGTTCAAAAGGCACTGGGATGATAGGAAGTGGCAAAACCCCATTAACTCCATGACAGAGTCTGCCACCAGTGTAACACTCTCTTCCTCTTTGTCTTTCCATCTACGCTGGTTCTTTCTCTTCTTGCCTCTTTTCTTCTTTCTGATTCTGTCTTTTTTTTGTGATATATATAATTCCTGTGTCTTATCACTTCGCCTCTGAGATTGTCATTTCATGCACACTGAACCCAGTGACTACATAACCATATTAAGGTAATAGTTAATGCATTTACATGGCTCACACTAATCTAATTTCTTCTATGTAACTTAATCATGTATGATTTTTCTTGCATACTGACCCTGTCCCTATAGTTACCATTGCTACACTTATATGGATTGTAAGCATATGCGCTGATATTCAATGTTACATGATACACAGTTTCTTGGGAAAAGACTGGATTACAGTCATAACTTTGCTTCTCTTCACTTTGTTCCTCTAAGACTTACTGCTTCTCTGTCACATATTAAACTATTGGCAGTTGCTCTTATGGCATATTTTGTTCCAAGGGAGTTCAGTCACATAATATTTTTATACATCTCACCCAAGGCAACGGCTGAAGTTCTGTGTGATGTTTTCCATGATGCTGTTGCTAGCATATAGACTCAACATGGTGACAAACTGGTTAAAAAAGCTGGCACTGGGGTTGGAATCAAGTTGGACTCACTGTAGGATGTGGTGGAGAGATGTACATTGAGTAAGGTGGAGAATATTCTAAAAAACATGGACCATCCACTTCATAGCACCTTGATTAACTAAAAAAAGAAAAATAAAGGAAAAAAAAAAAACAGCAGTGGTGAACGGCTCCTTTCTTTTCACTGCAGGACAGAGAGATTCAGAGGATCTTTTGTACCCACAGCCATCAGACTTTTTAGTTCTTCCAAAGACAGTAGATTAGATGAGATTCAAGAGATTACAATGAAATAGAATAAAATAAGTAAAATAAAATGAATAGATCCTGATAGAAAAACTATCATCAGCCAAACAGAAAGTCAACTTGTGTTGAAATAAATCCACATTAATACCTACCTTTAGATAATGGCTTTAAAGACTCGCAGGCTTACTTGGGTTTTTCATTTGTGCAGAAAACAGATAAAATAAATTTGGTCTTGTTAGACATTAAATCAAACAATAACAGTGAATGTAGGAACACTTTAAATCCTTCTCTTTGTGTGAGAAATGATTAAATTACCTGGAGCTTATTTTCAGAATAGATTTTTTCAAGTTATTGTAAACTTGTCTAAAACTCTGTCTAATTCTCGCAGGACTCCAAATGCACATCTTACCTCCTTTTTTATCGTCTGGGTAAACATTCAGTGTTTTGCATACCAGTTTGCCAGGGAGGTTTCAGCTGCATCATAAAGGCATCATATGAGGCACACTCCCATCTGTGAAAGTGTAAAAATGATGATTATACTTTGGAGAAGAGGTTACACACTTGAACCTAAAAACATTGAACAATAACACCTTTTCTGTTCCTCACTACATGACACACTCCACCGAGGCTGCACATGAGCGTATTGTTAGTTGTGCCAACATGCAGGCTTCTATCAAAGCTAAATCATCTTCAGTGTCCACTGATTTGGCTTCCCTGCAAACAACCCAAGCCCACCAAAAAAAACACACGATAAATTCACACAACAGAAAAACTTGTCAGTTGACGAGTCAGTGCGTGTATCCTAACTGGAATAGGCTGCAGGTGTTTTAATGTGTTCTACTGGATGGATTCCACCATACAGGAAGGTGCTTTGCTTGCATATGTAGGCTGGCGTGTGTTTTAATGAAGGCTGGGTTGGAGGATTTGCCAGTTTTCAAAGCTGTTTTGATGTCGTTGCTCTTGATGTCTATTTATTCAGATTCTGCCCTTTCACTCGCCGTTCGCTTTCCGGTCATTTGTACCCTCTGATTACGCTAGGGTTTTTGGAGACTCAACATCTAACCTCATGAATTTGTTGTGATAAAAAGTCAAGAATCATCCCTCAGTTCTGACAGCTGATTGAAACTTTTTCAGGCATCTCCTGTCGACATATTTATGGCTGTGTATCTCAGAGAAGACAGAGAGTCCAGACTCAAAGGCAGGGCCGCAGACAGGGCATGATATGTCAGAAGCACCCAGCAAGACACATACTAATGACCTGGACTTGCTGCCATTTAGTTGCTGTCATAGCCAGCCAGCTTCAAAATGCCACCAACTGCGTGCATATAAATCATTGTACACAGAGGGAGAAGCAGAGAGGAGATACAGTGTGCATCTTTAGACACAAATTATGTTTTGAATAAAGAGAGGAAAACAGCTAAATCCTTGTATGATGCAATGAAGACTTAGTTCTGTGCCATTTCATTTTAATTTTAAAAGGCATCATTTTTGTGCAATCTAGATGGTCTAATATGCATATTTTAAGGTGCGCAGCATAAAGTGAATCAAGGTGTGTTTGACTTCGTTTTAAAAAATCGGGAAACAAAACAAGGCTCACATAGGACTCTGGAGGACTCACAGTACAGAGTTAGTCTTCTTTATAGAACAACTTGAGACTAAAGGGAGAAGAAAAAGTAGAGAATAAGGTTGAGGAGGTTTTGAATTCCACTGAAATTCATCACTCTGCTTCCATAATAGAGGAAAATGTCAAATATGAAGAGTTTATGAACGCTTCAGGTTGATAAGGTGAAAAAACCTTGATTGTGAGATCAGTTAGGATCAAAAGTAGGTGAGGCTCCAAGAGATGGAAGAACTTATCTTTTGCACCACCCCTGTTATTTTACTTTCATTACCCCCCCCCCCTTTTTTTAAATTTATTTTTATTTTTTTTCATTTCTACCATATTTCATTTATCCTCTTGTGCCATGGCTTCACTGACAAGAAAGTTGGCCTGTATAACTCACCTGTCTGATGTGATTTTGGGACACATCCAGCACCAGTAAAAGCGATGAGTTTCTCCCTCATCCTTTAACCTCAATCAATGAGGTGTCACCAGCCCCCTAACTGACAGTCATAAATATCCGAGTGGAAATATGGCAGAGATAAAGGGAGGTCTAGGGGCAGGGACTGCGGGTTGCCGGAGAGAAAACAGACAACCGACAGTCTGCTTTGGATTGGAGTTGACAAATGAGCTGGGTAATGGGGCATTGGCGTTTTGCGAGCACAGTAGAAATCTAGTTCTTCAAAATGTTACTGTCTGACAATCAAATCAGCCCTGAACTGCGATCTGTCTCACTTAGGCGACTGGATCAGGGTAGTAAATCCACAGGCCAGAGGGACTGTACTCTGAAGACAGAGATTTGAGTCATGTTTAGTGTAATGAGCAGGCTGGTAAACTGCTGACAGTGACTTGTATTACACCAGGCAGTGTGAGTTGTCTTCCACTGTCCATGATGCTGAAAACAGAAATACTTCATGGCACACAATGATATGACATACTGTACCAGATGACAAAGATGGAACTGACAGCCACACCTGCATTTGAGAGAACTTTATCCACTCCGAACAACAGGCAGAAAGATGGTTAAGTGTTGCCATCTACTGGCCCAACATGGAACTACAATAACCATATACTGTCAGCATTAAATTGCTATTGCATCTCTGCTTTACTCCTCCATTGCACCTGATTTAAGAGGGGAATATTGAACTTTAATTCCAATCATAGATGTGTAACATGGAGTTTATTATTATTATTATTATTATTATTTTCAATTTGTTTATTTGACAGGGACAGTACATCAAGCATTGTTGCATCTAATTAAAGAGCAACCGATACTGTGTATGCAGGACTTTCCCTGGTTAAACAGCACATAATACATAAACCACTTAATAAAAACCAACATTATAGCAGGTGCACACAGGCAATCATCTATTTGAAAACGGCAAAGCAGACAAAACAAGCAGTTTCTTCATTTCACAAAAATCCAGAGACTTCCTTACATACACACACACGCATACACATGGATACATACATACATACATACATACATACATTCATTCATACGTATAGACACACGTACATGCCACAATAAACATATATGTAAGTTAGTGTTCACGTATTTGTCTTTATTTAAGCCATAGTTTCGTTTTGATGTTGAAGGCTTTGGGGTCCTTTAATGTTTTTATTTCTGATGGTAATATGTTCCAAATCTGTGGACGTTTGACTGAGAAGGAAGACTGTCCACAAACCTATCCTGCGCTTTGTGGTTTTACAGTCTCCACTGACTGCTCTTCTTGTAGAAGCTCCTTTAAATGAGTATCTTTTAATCATTTTGCTAACTAGGTCTGGGGCAAAGCCATTCACACACTAAAAAAACAGTTAAAGACATAAAAGATTTATGAAATTGTCGAAGCTCAACAAGTTGTACTTTTGTAGCACTATGCAATGGTGCCATTTCATTGGCTTTTAATCTAGTGTTTCTAGGGTTTGTTTTTAAAATGACAGCGCGGGCTTCCAGATCATTAATCTTTAAATAAAGAAAAAAAAAACACAACAACATGTCCAGAAGTTTAAGGACATCCACTCTGGGCATCTGGGCATAAAAACATGTACAGGTGTGAGTGAAAGTTGGATGCCAGCGCTTTGCCTGTCAGTCACTTTGAAACTCCTTGGTGTCATAGGACTGCAGTGCAGGGTTATTACTGAGTGCACTCTGGAGGCAGCAGTACAGAAAAAGCCTCTTGGTGGCTGCAGATCCTGTAGGGAAACACTTGGGCACAAGTCTGGGATTAATCACCCCTGCCTTGGTCACCAGGGCGCATTTGAAGATAATTAAAAGAAACATTTTTATTCTTGTATTTTATGTTTTTTTTATGGTTTATATTTAATTCATGGAGTATTATAAATCATAAGTACAATTTGTGGAATCTGGACTTTAAAAAGTACTTTCAGAGAAGTACAATTTTGGGCACATTGAGACAGCTTGGAACTATGATTTTTACACCCCATCATGATTATCTAATTTGCACTTTTTCACACTGCTGCATCCATTTGGCAACAACTATTTCTTTTTTAATAGTTCAGTTATCCTTAGGAATGACTGGTTATCCTCTTCCTGTCTTTGTTTATGCACAGAGTGGTAAGACCTCATGTCCTACGCAAGTCCTGTGATGCTTCTGTCCTCCATTATCATCTCTAAGTAAATAAATCCATATTTGTACTTTTGACTTGAACAAAATTCACCTTTATCCTCAGAAATCAACATTCCACTCCTGCAGTCACTCCTACTGTAAACTATTTAGCAACAATTTTAAAGTATGTCTCCCACAATTGTCAAGTATATACAACTATTTATTGTCTAACCAGGGGAGCTTACATTCATATTCAATCCTCCAAAAGAGGTTAGAAAACCTACTTTGTAGGTGGAGTTGTACAAAATCTGCTCACTTTAGGACTATAAATTTAAACCTGCTAGATCCAAAGTTGGTAGAATTTGTTTTTCCTTTTCCAAAATTATTCCAAGCCACTTGTCTTCTGTAGCTGCTGCTGGATGATTTCAGCCAAAAGTGCTCACAGCAGCAGCAGCTTTGTATCACTCCTCTGTCCCAGGCCGATAAAGAAACCCACATTTAGACCCTCAAAAGTAACTGGGTCTGAAACACTTTGCTTAAAGCCCCTGTGGGGAACTTTCACTTTGTGTCACACTTACACCCTCGCACTGGTTTTGGGCATTAAAAATTATAATTATCAAAAACATTCACTCATGTCGCTGATGGGCTTTTTTGCTTTTGGATGTCATGGAAAAGCATCAACATAAATATTGTTCTATTTCATATGTGTGAAAAAAAAACTCCTTGCAGGAGCTTTAATGTATTATTGATGTTGTTCTAGCGACCCTGGCAGCTGCTTTTTATGCAATGGACTTAACTAAAAAAGTGTATTTATCAATTGGAAGTGTGTTTTGTTGCGCAAAGTCGTACCTTGGTGATTTTGAAACCTTTTTATATACTTCTGGGTACTTTTTACATCAGGAAAAATATAAGAACCTCAATCTTGCACTTGCTAGTATTTCACATACCAGTGTATCTTGTAATCAATTAATGGCAAATAGAGGTAAACCTTTCAACAATCAATCTGTGCATGCTTAACTTCTGATTATAGCGATTAAAATTCCTCCTCACAGCATTGGAGTGCTTTCAAATCACACTTGCAACTTCAAGGCTTCTTCTGTCTTGCACAGCTCAGTTTTGCCAGGTGTCGCTGGACTGTCTTCATTTGCATAAGCTTTGGATCTCAGCTGCACACACAATCAAACCTGACAATTGCACCCCTTTCCTGGAAGCCTTATTGGCTCTGACTTCGTCTAGACTTTTAACAAGCACATGACGAAGTCCAATGAAGAGCGGGTAGCATTAAATTAAACTGTGGTAAATAGCTCATTAGCGTGTCTGCCGTATTTTTAAAGGTCAGTTTAATAATCTGCCAGAAAGTTCTAAAATCCTTTTCTCTTTGCAGGTGTTTCATGCAGCTCAGAGTGACTCAGCCTGAAACAGCAGAATAATGCGGAAAAGCAAGTATGAACAGTCCCTTTATTTCACTTCCTTGTGTAGGGGTGCTTGCCTGCTCTCGCACACCCTCCGCCCCGCACAGACAGTCAGACAGGCCGGGTAGTAATGAAGAGGTGACCCGGCTCCAGACCTCCGCAGGAAAAACATTGCACACATCGCCACCTGTAGGGGCTTTTCCGGGCTGCAGCAACAGAGAAGACATGCTGGGTATTTTTGTGAAAACTTCATGAAGATCCCCTGATTGACTTGAATCAGAGGCAACCTCTCCTGTGCTGAGGGTGCATACCTGTGCGGACTTGCCCGCAGTCCGTTAGGTGGGACTTATCGGAGGAGGCGAGACACACCTTAGTCTTACCTTTTGTGGCTTTACGGCGCCCACCCACCCCTCCCTTTCTTTGCCTCTCTCTCTCTTTCGCTCTCTCTCTCTCTAAAAGTGGAGAATTAAACTATCTGGACTCTGAAATGTCGACAAATGATCGAGCCACGCGAGCTCTGAGGGAGATCCTACAAAACCCTGGAAATGATGTTTGCGCAGACTGCGGTGCGCCAGGTGAGCTGAAACTACTCAAAGTGAACTTAGCTCTAAAATGCTACTCGGCATGTCTGCAGCCTGTGTTAGTACAGGAAGTCCAAAGTGTTTACCTGCGCTGACAAGTACAGGTAATCATTAAAACTTGTGGTTGGTGTGCTTTTTCCGCAAAATTATTCATGTTATGTATTATTTTAGAGAAGAATTAGCTGAACATCCCAGATGTTATTCATTTTTCTTCATTTTTTAGGTTATCGGGTGACAATGAAACTTAAAAATCTAGAAAATTGAGCTTTTTTGGAGCCCTTGAATGCACCAGCACAGATGAAGCTTTGGTATTCAGGGCTGGAAATTGCATTTTGAAAACTTTGGGAGTTCAGCAAGTCTCAGCATGCAGGATGGAGGGCTTGGACACATTACTAGTTTTAACCCAGCTGTGAGGGTTTCTTGTGGAAGCAGGGGAGAACATTTTGGTGTATTTTAAGGGCCAATGTTTGACTGTGACCCCAAAAGTTACTGGAAAATAGTAGTAAAGAGGCGGGCCTGAATGTGTTATTTTCATGGGGCCCCAAATCTCTGCGGTGCCACTCCTGTTTGGAGGCTAACTGACAACGTTCATAAATGATTGTTTGAACACAGAATCTGCCAAGAGACAACTGCCTGTCTTTTTAAGTTTTACATGGATAAATACACAATAAATGTAGACTATCTGTTTTCAGTAATGAGGATAATATGAAGAGAAGTAAAAGAGTTAACTCATTTAGACATTTCTTTAGGAGCGAGAGTGACAATTTAATTTAGCCAAATGTAAGCTAACCACACTGCACATGCAAGCTGTATGGTCATAACTTCACTCTTCTTGATGTCCACCCTTGAATCTGTTAGAAACTTTGCTTTACAGCTCACTAATTCTTTGTAGTTTCTCTCTCTTGTTTCATACAGCAAATCGAGCATATAGTGTTCAAGGACACATGTCTCTGGCAAACTATAAAAACACCAAGTAGTCTTATTTTTTTCACTCTGTTTCTGTTTAAGTGAAAGTCTTTTGAATTGAATTGGAAAACCTCTGAATTTAGGCCCAGAGGCAGCACATATCTGTCGCTGAGCAGTGTAGCAAATACAATGACACAGCTTATCTATATCTATCAGGGAAGCTTGACAGACTGCACAGTCCACATACTTAATCATGAATATATGACTTTTAAAAGCTGGGAGGGTAAGCGTCTTGCTGCAAGACAGCTTTCTCTGCCAAGTTCCTCAAAATTCACCCCCCAGTGATCACGTTCAGGCACATTTTCTTGTCATTCTAACCAATCCTTAAGATCTGACACAAAAGAGAGTCAGTTTGATTCGTCATCTGCATGTGCATGCTGGTTAATTTTTTACCTAACCACCCTGGTATTGTGAAATAATGACATATACTAAAAATGAGAACGAGCTAGCTCAGACCTAGTGTTTGAGAGTGAAATTAAAAGCCCTGTTGTAAGTGCTTACGCATCAGTGATCTGCTGTGATCAAACACAAAAGCTCTGTTTACTGGCAGCTGCATTGTGTGACTCACAGAGATAAGACAGGTGTGGTCAAAGCAGAGAACATGTCAAGTGTGCTCAAGCTTAAATCAGAAAAAGAGGGACACATTCACCCTGAAGAATTTCAAGTACAAGTTAAAAAAAAACAAAAAACATTGAATTATCCCTACACAAGAAAACATGCATCTGTGTAAGACTAATATCTGTCTGTTAGCTGTTAGCTCTGTTCATAAACACAGTGTGTAAATCATTAGCAATCCCAGCAATGTAACAGTTAACCTGATCTAGCCGGGTGACCTCTGCCTTTCCTGTCCTCTTTACAACCTTTTTTTATTTTTCATATGCGGGTAATGGAGGGGGTGAGTCTGACGGTAATGTAATACATGCCAGTAGCCCTGGTGATAACCGTATTGATGCCTTGGCTTTTGCCATCCATTAATCCCCATTTTTCCTCATGTCCGGGTTAAGCCGCCATGAAGACAAATGATCAGTTGATCAGTTTTGCATGATCTTTACAAAGTCAATTCTCTGTTCCATTTTCAACCACATAAGTATAGAACTTTGCAGCATGTAGCAAGTTACAGCGGAGAGATAAAACAGGCAGAAACCTCGAGCAAGACCGGACTCATGTTAGACAGTCATTTGCTGAAACTGAGCTGGGTTTAGAGAGGGGACAGGGGGAGATGCAGAAAGAGAGAGATGGACAGAGGTGAGACTGAGACCCTTAAATAAGTATCACGTCAGACCTAAAGTTTGATATAAACGTGAAGCTGCACCGTAACCAGATTTATAAACAGTCTTTCTTTCATCAAGAATAACCACATTTAGAGGAAGCTACTTCTCTTAAGGTCATTGAGGGTTTGGTTTGCTCACCATAAAAAGAAAAAAAAAAAAACATCAGTATAGCATGAAGACTGTTTTCATAACTGATGATAGTTTGTTTAAGAAAACCACAGAGCCTCAATAGCAGTAAAGACCACATTACCTATTCAGAGTATTTCCATTTTGTTGTACATGAAGCACCTTTATTATAATTACATAAGTAGAGGTGCTGATACCATTTGGAGGAGGAGGAGGAAAACCCGAGCTACACCTAACACTTCATACCTATTTTGTTCTCTCCATCATCCTCTCTGCAGATCCCACATGGGGCTCCTGTTCCCTGGGAGTGTTTATCTGTCTGGCCTGCTCTGGGATCCATCGTAACATCCCTGATGTCAGCAAGGTCAAGTCTCTGAGTCTGTCCCACTGGGAGGACCACGAGGTTCAGGTGAGACCACATGGGCTGAATACACAGTGGGTTTTTGTAGATTGATGTACCACCTGCTCTTCAGTAGTGAAGGTATCTGCTGTGGACAGGAATCGCTTACTATGATGAGTAGGAAGACCCCAGTTTCTGTAGATGGAGCTCTCTCTGTTGTAACTCAGTGGTGTTCGATGTCAAAAGAACACTATGTTGATGCTGATAAACTGCATGCTGATATTGTTCTTGTGCATTTACGGATAGACCAGAAATAATAAACTGTCTGTAACGAAGGATGACCTTCTGAGTATCTTGCAGCCATTAAAGGCAGGATCAGAAAAGTACACCGCTTTAAATTCCTCTAATAAAAACCCTCATCGGAGAAAAATGTTTCCACTCTTCACTAAGAAGCCTTTATGAGAAACTAAATCCAGCTCACACTGATTATTTGAAAACATTCTTGGCTGGTTATATCTAAGCGTTGTGAAATTTCTACAGAGGAGTCACAGCAACCGGGAGATGGATGAAGCTGGTGCTTTGCACATCTTTATCTACAAATATTTCTCATCACTCAGATTTATTTTGTTATTGATTCTTCCAACATCGGATTTTATTCAGGCTGAGATAATTCTCCAGCAGAACTGTCAGTTAGTGTGAATAATCTCTTTAATTTCATATGTTTACAGTTCATGGCTGAGAATGGGAATGAGCTGATGAAGAGTAAATACGAGGCTGCTGTTCCAGTTTATTACTACAAACCGACACACAAAGACTGCCAGTGAGTAACCATGGAAACCCACTACAAATACACTTCAAAAAGACCCACATATACGCCAATCAAATGAACGATGCATGTTTTCTCCCTTGAAGTATTGCTTATTTTGCACTCATATTTAAGCGTGTAAATGTGTGATCATGTGTCACCATACATGCCATGTTTATATATGAGAATGGGTGTATTTGCATGCAGAATCTGTCATTTTGAGTTTAAAGTATATGAGAATATAAGTGAAAATGCTGATGAATCTATTCCCGTTGGTAAACGAGAAATGACTTAAATATCATGATAATTTTACCATCAAACTGTGGATTTTCTATTGATGCTTTTTCTGCTTTTAAAGTGTGAAATACTACTGGTAAGGTTTTAGGTCTGTGAGTTTTGTCCTCAAACTCTTTGTGCCAGCTCACCTTGTACTTGATATTCTTCAGTGTGAAGTTCAGACAGAGTCAGCTCTTGACAGCTCACTACAAGGGTGTCTTTTGGCTGAAATTCACAGATTCTCAGACATACCTCAGTCTTGCTGCTATCTGCGGACTAATTCAGGTCAGTCAGGTTCTGGAGCAACTATCTGAGACAAAGATGCTTCTCTGAGCCATTTTAACATGATAAATGAGACTCCGGTCGAACAGAATCGTTGTTTGTCACTTGTGAGGGCATGTTTATTTTCATGTGTCGCGTCTTCACTAATGACTGCAATTAGAGCAGCCTATAGTTTGTGCACACATTACAAACATGATTTATTGCATTCATCCTCAACTCGTGATTGTGTTGCTAACACGGTTCGAAGTAGCTCTGTGTTTGCTGTGAAGTCTACCCATCCATGGTTCATGCATTTGTGAGTAAGAGGCTATGTGGTGCTTTTTGATGTGTCCGTGTCCGTTGGTGTCTGTAACATTACCTATGATGTGAATTATGTAATCAAATTGATCTTCCTTCAGGTGAGCAGTTGTAAAGTCCTAGTTTAGTTGACATTGTGTTTGATGCCCCAATATAGGCCTAGGTAGGTAGGCCTACTTAATTCCCTCTGTGCTCACCCCACGCTAGTCTCTGCCTTTGCCGTTGACAGTGTATAACTTTGCCTTTGTCTCTTTTTCTCTTTGTTTGACTGGATTTCCTCAAATTCAAGTAGAAAAAATTACATGTTGGGTTCCCTAAGACTCCATCCTGGGGCATCTCGAATTGAATTTCCCTTTGGGGATAAATAAAGTTCTTCTTATCTTATCTTCTGTTTGACGACTACATACCTCTGCTGGCTCATGTTATAGAAAACAACAAAATAAGTTACCACAACTATGCAGATGACTGTGACCCCATACAGGTGCTGACTAAGTGCCTTAAACAAATCCACAAGTTTTTGTGACTTTTTTTTTTAGTTAATCAAGGATAAAACTGAGGTAGTTGTTTTTGCAGCTAAACATAGTAAGTCTGTCAGCAGCTTCAGATGTAACAGTTGACAAGACTGACTTTGGCTCCAGTGTGTTTACTAACCCTCTGAATCCTTTGTTATCCACCATCAAAAAAGCCCAGTTGTCTTTGGCAATAAATTCAGTGATACATCTCGGGAACTCTTGCACTATACCACTGTCATGCTAAAGAGAGGCTGTAAACATTTTCTTCGGAGTCATTTGTTCTAGATGGAGTTTTTCCTTGTGCCTTCTTGCATCTTTCCAGAGGGACAGTTTCACAAGTGGCTTTGTATTTTACTTATATCCCCCTGATGTGTAGGTCACAAACAGACATCCACTTTGATATCAAAACACTTTTGTTGTCATGATATTGTGAAATTTATGGCACCGTTACATCCTTATGTAATGAATCTTGCAGAGATGGTTCTTTTGGACGTCTTTGATTTGATCAACTAGCTCACAAACCCTTAAACTTAAGCCATACCCAGCCAACACCACTGCTGAAACTTTGTCTGAAGCACTTTTGTCTCTTGCTCTGCTACAGATGTGTGTTTTCTGTCTCCAATTTACCTGCTTGACACCCAACAAGTCTGAGTCTTACTGTGTGTGTAACCGCTACAGCACCAGGCGGCTCTCTGGAAGGAATGTTTGGAATTGTATGAATGTGAAGCAGAGCTTTTTTTTTGTGGGAGCAAATCTTCTCGTGGTATTAAATGATAGCTGCCACAGTCACTCTACCTCACAGTGTCTTTGCCTGACTGAAATATGAAACGTGTGTGTTGAATGGAAGAAGAACAAACCGCAGAATCTGTGAAATAATTCCCCTGAAGACAGCCCAAACCTCCACACCCTTTTCTGTTTCTTGACACAAGGGACGGGCGATATGGGCTAAAAAAAATTATCACAATAAGTTTTGCCGTTCTGGTGATAACTATAAAAGGCCTGATAAAAATAATGTAATTCCAATCCATGTTTTTGACTCATTCTGTCTTGAGAACCCCACAAACATTGTTCTTTGATGGCACTTAACAGTTGGCATGGTCAAAGAAGATACTTAACCACAAGTTGAAATGGTTTATTGCATTTATATTAAGATGGCAAATGTTCATCATGGAGGATCAATAAATCATGAACGATAATTTTTCACCCATCCCTACTTAACATAAACACTAGAGTCAAGATACAGAGTCAACAGATTAATCAGCCAGATTAATCATGGCACAGAGCGATGTCACTGTTGAGCTTTGGAAATGCTAGATAGGTGGCAATCGTGATTACTACAGCCTCCCGGTCATCATGCAAATGCTGTACCTTGGCTTTTCAGATGCATACATACACAGGCACATACCCACACACCTGCCTCTTCCTGCTCCTTCCCCTGTGGCTCTTTGACAGTTTGTACCACTGTACGACAACATTTTGAAGATACAACGGTCGATACAACATAATTGAGCTGGTAACTATGAAAAAAAAGGGGAAGCTATATGAGGGCAAGGTAGAGCAAACACTCTGCTTTTAAGGAGGAAAGGGAGGGTGCATTTTGTGTCAAAATAAATTAGTGGAAGAATATGGTTCAGTCTCAAAATGGTAATTGTAATTGATACTTAATGAAGCGCCCAGCTCTAGCTAGAGGCAAAATAAAGAGGAGAGCCTGAGAAGGTGCACTGAATCCATGTCTTGTTAAACATTCATATACTACCTGGCAAGGTTAGCTAACTTAACTATGATCAGGCATTTCTCGTCCTGTTTTAATGTTTTAGTCTATGCTTTTGCATGCAGAGCAGCTTGAAGCAGGTCTGTTCTCACTTTAAACTCTTTACAAGCCAGTCCTATAAACGTTTTTTTCTGTTTGTGTGTTCTCAGGGTGCTGAGGGAACAGTGGATCAGAGCAAAGTACGAGAGAAGAGAATTCACTGAGCCTGGGAAGACCTTTAAGTATGAGGAGGGTGAGTGTCCATGCACACACACACACACACACACACACACACAGTACACACACCTGCATAATGCATGCACTACAACAGGGTCAAGCTCATAAATGTTTTTTCTGGTTTCCTGCAGGACTTAGAGATGGCTTGTTGATGAAGAGGGGGCGGGACAACGGACAGTTCCTCAGCAGACGATTCGTCCTTTCTGAGAGGGAGGGAACTATAAAGTACTTCACAAAATATGACGTAAGAACCACATTTAATGAGAGTCACTGTAGACTCATAACACCTAAACACTTGAATGTACTCTCACCTAGAAACACAACCTGATTTGTTCACGCTGTAGTTTAAAGGCGCTAGTATACTCTCACAAATTCCTCAGAGGAAACTCTTAACATATAGATTTTTCACACACAGGCAATTACGCTCACCACCAAATGTATGTGTACCTTTCTCCTCTGCTGAGTCTGAGCGTGCTCAGACAAGCATAGCCAACAGTCTGTCCTCTCTGTCAGTGTAGCTGATTCTCCAAGCTGTACACCACCCAAACCAATTAGAGTTGGGAGCACTGGGAGCGCTTTGTTTGTCACAGTAAACCAACTCAGGCCAAGTGGGAATAATGAATTTAAAAAAAGACTGCAATTCCACTGCATTGTGGCACATTTCTTGGCATACAAATGTCATTTTGTGAATGCTCTCCCCATCTTCCTGGAGTGCTTCCACCATGAAATATTTTACTGCAAGTCTCCTGGTGTCTCTGCGACAGAAAACAGTGAAACAGATACATCCTCGTGGACTCACAGTGGTGATAAAAGTCAAAGTGTTGCTGTTGTTCAGGTTCTGGATGTTTTCAGAGGAGCTTTGAGATGTGTGAAATATAACAGCCTGACTTCAGCTGCCTTAGACTGAATTTTCTTCTCTCCTCTGTGCTATTTGTATGATGGAGTGTCAACACCCTGAAAAGTGTAAAATTTAGTCAGTTGTCAAATGTATAAGAAAAAGGCAAGATGGTGAGATTTTCTCAAGCAAACAGAAGAGCAGAGGTGACGCTTTGACACGGATCCTGCTCCCGTGGATGTTCATTTAGATTCATGTCAGGACGGATTAAAGCTCAGCCTCCACAAACAGGTTTACCGGGATTAGTGTCAGACTTGGACATGATGGTTATCAGAGATGCTGGCTGATGTTGTTGGTGGAAGTTTTAGATAAGCTACATAAGATACGTGATATTCATATTGAATTGAATTTCCAACCTTTTGTCAAAGGAGTAATCAAAAACAGACCAACATTTGACCTCAAGTCAATTTTAACAAAAGGCAAAGGTTATTTCCTTACAGGGTGGCAGGTAAAATCTCATGTGGGGTTCCCCAAGGCCCCGTTCTTGGGCCTCTTCTGTTTAACATCTTCATGCTCCCACTGGCCTGTATTATTGAAAACAAGAAAATAAGTTCCTATAGCTATACAGACTACACAGAGTTATACATAACAATATCACTGTCTCTATTTGTGACTGCTGATAAAATGTGACTGAAGATCTGTTTTAAAAGCATGTGGTACTGACTAGTACTGAGGTATAGAACGTTTTGATGACCTTCTGTAACATCTAATCTGTGATTCATTTGTTCATAATTTTCCCATATAAAACATGACAGACTATATGAGAACATTGCGCTGAACCAACATGGCACTGAGCTGCAAGCAAAGCTTTCAGTTTGCTAGTTCCCTTTCACTCCTGCAGGCTAAGGAACCCAAAGCTGTCATCAAAGTGGACTCCATCAACGCAACCTTCCAGCCTGAGAAGATCGGGAACCCCAACGGCCTGCAGATCACCTACCTCAAAGACTACAGCACCCGCAACATCTTCGTCTACCATGACAACGGCAAGGTCTGCACCCCTGTGCCACAATGTGTGTCATGACCCGTGAATAAAAGAATAAAACCTTTAAAAAAAAAAAAGGACATGTCTAGTGATTTGAGCTGTTCTCGTGTGTCGTTGTGGGTGAGATGTCTCCTCTATATCATTATTTTTTCTGATGGATTGAACTAGTGATGACATTTAAGCTCCACATTGATCATTTAGTGTCATTAAGTGGGATACACACTGAAATAAATGGAACACTGTCGTGGAGACGGAAAATTTAGTCGAGACTGACATTGAAACCAGCTGCAAAATTCATCGAAATCACAAACTTCTCAATTTAGAGGTCTATCTTCGTCTAGTAAAGCTCATTAATCTTAGTCCTTTAGGCCTTACAGAACAAAAAAAGTCAATTTTCTCACACCGCGTCTCTCTCTCTGTCTATTAGGAGATCGTAGATTGGCTTAATTCAATCCGTGCAGTTCAGCTTCACTATCTAAAGGTGGCCTTTCCTGGTGCTACAGATGCTGAGGTGAGCAAAAATAAGAAATGCATATAAATTTAATATGTATCACTGAAAATGCACGTCTGCTTTTCATGCACTTTTTCAATTTTCTTTTTCAGCTAGTGCCCAAACTTACCCGAAACTTTCTGAAGGAGGGATACATGGAAAAGACAGGACCCAGGGTGAGGAACGCACAGACACAAACACAAACACAGTAAACTCATATTCAAACACTCGTCCTTTCCCTCTTCTCTGTTTCATCTTATGCCTGATTCAAGTGAAAGTTCATGAATCAGTTAATGTAGATCTTCGTGTATCAAAACCACCTCAGGAATTTATGAAACTTAATCTACATAGTGTTAATAACTAAGCCAGCGTTAATAACTGAAACATGAGTCTAAAAATTGGATTGAATGCCTGGGGTTTAGAGGTTTTAATTACCATTTTACCAGACCTCCCTTGAAAATGTTGAACTAATTTCAGCCTATTTGCCAATTAAGCCAATACCTGAGGGACTTCGGTAATTTGTAGCAATTACAGAGATCAGCTGTAATTATACGGAGGACGTCCACCAGTTTAATGTCACAATTCCAGCTGAAAAATACTTAATTTTCCTGCTAACATCCGTGCTAATCTAAATTATAATTAAGCTTCAAGGTGTGACATCTTTCATTTCAATGAGGGTTTTGAACCTCTGCATTTCTTTTTTAATGAATACAGGAAAAATAAAGCCCTAATAGACCAAATTAGAAAACCACATCAACATAGTAAAATTCTCATGCACAGTTCAGCACCTGTGCCTTTCTACAACCATTGTTAGTTTTCACAGACAGATTTCAGAAGTAATTTAGTGTCCATGTGGTTATTTCCACTACAGACTCATGCCTGTTTTAATGTACTTCAAGGACCATTATTCTTAAATTAAAACTATTTGAAACTATTTGGTCACTAAGTCTCTCATAGATCTGTTAACCACTCAGCCCCTCTGTATACTCTTTTTATACCTTGTCATGTATTACGACCATAGACTGTATCTAGAATGGACAGCGTCTGCCTTCTCACTGGGTGAAGCCACTCCGAGAACAGCACACTCGAGCCATCCTTATGGAGCTGTGGACAAACTTTAGAAATTTATTACACAGAATATACATTCTTCTTCCCCCTGCTTGTGATGTTGACATGTAGTTACAGTAAGACTAGTTTGTGCTCAAGTTCTCGTTTTTCTGTGAAGCTCAGTTTTTAAAAGTTATTAGGGGGTTCATGTTTTCTATGATTGACACTTGATACAGCCTATGGGCGTACGAAGATTGTGTAGCTCACCCGTGGGATACGCTGTTTAAAACCATCCCTTTAACCTAATGGGATGGTCTTCCAGGTCCCTTTTTTTTAGCATTTAACATCTATTTTACTGTTCTGTTGTTGCTGTCCCTACTCACCTGAAACATGTTCCTTGAATTAGGACTGTTGATATTTGATGCATTTTCTTTGCACTGTTTTCAATTAAATTTAGGTTGAAGTGATTCATCACAAGCCATCGAATTCTGTTTAATTACATTTCACACAGCATCCCAACTATTTTTGGAAATGAGTTTGTATTTTATTCCCTTTGATTAAAGGGATAAATGTTGTAATCCACATCTATCATGCAATCTTAACTGGATCCGATCAAAAGGATCAAACCTCAGCTTAATTCTGAATTTATTTACGGACTAAAATTCAATTGAACTAGTCATGGTTCCCTCCTCAAATCCCTCCCTGTGATCCCCGGCTCATTTTCTCTCTGCTTTAACAGAATAGGATCTGGGCTGAGAGGTTAACTAGCCCAGCTGTCAGTGTGGCTGCTTTACAGCGCTGCCCGCCAGACTGACTGACAGCTGAGAGGTCCTACCTGTCTGCTCCCCGGCCGGCCGGTCCGTCTGTGAGGGAATAAAAGGCTTCTAGTCGAGGACCCGCTTAATCCTTTGGTGTCCAAATCTGAAAACACACACAGAAACACATTGTATTGGGATTAAGCTGACACACATGTCTCTGTTTCTGTGTCGTACCAACACTTTTAGAGAAGCATTTGTACTGGAATAAGCTTTTTTTTCCAGACTTCCGACTTGAACACACATTGACAAGATCAGTCTTTTATTCAGACTGTTTAATCTATGTCTGTCAGACTCCGTGAGGAAAGGACTTACCGGCTTCATTTATTGGACTGATTTGCTTAATGGACATCAAAATTCTTTCTTCTCACACTTTTTCAAGATGATATTTGGCCAAGACTTATATGGGCAGCAGTCAATTTCTACTTGATGTTTTGAAGTCATTTTAAAATGAAGATAAATCCCTTGAGTTAGAGTTGGGGTTATAATATGGGGTTATAATTAGAGCTCCTTTTGGATGCCTCTAGTATGCATATTCCCACTTGGTATTTGCAGTTAATGGACTGATATCATCTTAAAGTGACAATGCTGATATGTCTTATGATATTAGACCTCTAATTAGGAAGAACAGATAACTTTATCCCTTTGCATTGTTACATGGGAACTTTTTTAAGAGTATTTATGAACTAAAGGATAAATTTTAAAAATAATCAGGGAGCAAAAGCGACAGCCTCGAGCACTGGAAAAACTCACAGACTCAGACAAAGTCTGAGAAATCACTGACGTTTAAATTCTTACCAGGAAAGAGCCAGATAAAGATCAGGGTATGAATCATCTTTAAACTAAAACACAGACAGATATTGGCTTTGTTGTCCGCTTTGTGTCTGCTTACAGCTCATGTCTCTGTCTTTGCAGCAAACAGAAGGCTTTAAGAAACGCTGGTTCACTCTGGACCACAGACGGCTCATGTACTTCAAAGACCCACTGGTATGTCGTCTCAACACACACCCACACACTACACAGAAACTCCAGTGTATACATCAGTCTGTGTGATGCATTTAGATGAGACCTGTGCCACTGAGGTAAAGTTTCTCCATCAGAATCTGCTGATGATGGTGGTTTGTGGTGTTCGAGATAATTGAGCACATAAGGGAAATAGTAGAGGAGAAGATTTTTCCATTATGCAAACAAGAGGAAGTAGATGGTGGAAGAGTTAGCAGCCATGCCTCATTGGGGAGAGGGTGATATAAAGTGCTATTATTCATCCAAGCTTTCTACATCCAGTGTTTTTGCCATGGCTTTATGTTGCGCACCTCCTGATAATACAATGACACACTAACCTGCGAAGTAGCTCCATCCAGAAAGCTACATCAGGCGCTACCCCAAAACCTTAGGTTCAAACCAGATACAAGCACTTTGTGATTGTGAAATCATGAAAGTAAGACTCTGAATCACCAGATGGTAGGAGTGGAATTTTTATGAAGGAGTTATCACAGAGATTTGCCTTGAGAGGGGGCGAACCTGATTTCCCAAGACTCGGCCTAACACACATCTGATAGCCGAGCCTGGGGAGCTTATCTTCGCCGCTGATGTAACAGTTCAATGAAGGGGTGCAATAATTATAGGTGCTAAGTGACTGAGATGTCCGTTTTACCCCCTCAGACAGATAAAAAGGAAGAGGAAGTCTAGTGAAGTAGATGTGGACTGGGAATATGTGGAGGAAGCTCAAAGAAAATGTAATTTGATCACTCTGATCGTTGATAAATTATGCATGTGAGAGGCTGTGAATGGAGGTGCTCACAGGAGTTTGTTCACACTGCTCACTAACAGCAAGATTAAGTCTGACAACTAAGAAGCATCACCTTTGGTTGTAGTAGAGCAAACCAAAAAACTTCAAAGTTTTTAAAATCTTGTTTTTAAGGATTCTACATCTTTACGTGTAGCTATCTAGCCAGTCTGTCTTGATAGCCTGTGTGGAAAAAGACAAACTAAAGAGAGAAGTGACATTACCGATGCTGTCTCACAGTGTCTGGATGAACCGGTAGTGATGTTTTATAACTTATTCATACAGTTGAACAAACCTTGATTCTCTTATTCAAGACATGTTCCTGGTCCTGAGAGGAACAGTGGGGGGTCTGTTGTCTTAAATGGACCTCTGTATCTCTGACTCACCCTCTGTGTATTTTCTAGGACGCCTTTGCCAAAGGTGAGGTGTTTTTAGGGAACAAGGACCACGGATACAGCGTCTCCGCCGGCTTGCCTGCTGGCACCCACTGCAATGGTGCCTGGCAACATGGTATCACCATACAAACGCCTGACCGCTGCTTCCTGTTTACTTGTGAGACGGAGAGTGACCAGCAGGATTGGCTGAAGCACTTTGATGATGTGATGAGTGCTCAGATGTCCCCCCAGGAGTTTACAAGTAAGAGTCCTGGAATTCAGAAAGTTACCTTTTCAGCATGTTAGCATGCAAGCATTAGCTTATCAGCCACTAACCAATTAGTTGTTCGTTTCACGACAGAAGATCAAATATAACAGTTACTGTCTATTGTTTAATAAATATTATGTGTTTATCTGTTGAATACTTGAGTTTAATATGGTCTTTGGCATTATTATGTCATGTTTGGACATCTGTAGCATAGTGCGGTGTATTTTCTTTTAAAAGAATGGATTTAAACCCATTGGAAAAGTGATTTGGCAAAGACAAGGTATTTTAGATGGTAACATCCACAGAATAATGTTGGCAGAAAAAAAAAAAATCTGTATCAGGGCGAAAAATAATACTTTGTGCATATTGTGCAGAACACTGTATACGGGATAGGAGAACTATGTTTGGTTATGTGGTCAGCTTGCACATTTTATGATAGGATGAGAAGTTGTATTTATAATATAATATGATACAATATAATATAATACAAAAAATATATAAATATAATATAATATGATATAATGCAGTGTAATATAATATGGAATGAAATAGAATACAGAACAGAAAAAAATACAATATGCAATATATTTCAATGAAATATAAAGTTTAAGAGAATAGAAAAGAATAGAATAGAAAATGCAATATCATATTTTGTATAATATTTGTTTTTATTAGAATGTATGATAGAGTAGCACAGAAGAGGATACATTATGCAGAATAATATAGATTAAAATAATTCAATTAAATATATTATAAGTATGACATAATAGAGTAGAATAGACCATAATTTGATATAATAATCCTATATAACAATCCTTAAACTGTCTCACCAAATGCTAAAACCTAAACTCCTTTTATTAAATTTGGTAAAAATGACACATTGTATTATTTGATTTTGCATCAGAGAGAAGTGGATGCTAATTATTAATTATATTAACAACAGAACTTTGACTAGAAAATTGATGAAACTAAAAGAAACATAGAGGATTTGTAGCTCCTAACATTCAGAGTAATGGATCAGCTAAGTTAAAGAAGTGGCTGTTAATAACTCTAGACTTTGTTTTCCAGTGCAGGCTCTGTTCAAGCACAGGCATTGATGGACCAGAGGCCTGAGGGACCATCTCTTCTCTTCTCAGCCATTACTGATCTGATACAAGACCCACGTCAGTTCAGCTTAACAGCCCAACACACTCCATTAGTGAAATCCAAGGTCTGAAAATTGAAACAACACGCACGAACAACTCATTGGTGAATTAAAGAATAAGAAAAACACTTCAGAGATGGTGTAATACAACGCACGGGGGCAATAAAAAAAGATCTTATTTAATTATTTTACCACGTTACTCTATTCTATCATACCTCTCATGAGGCATCACTTGTCAATCAAAAGTAAAATAACACGACTGGAGTTTCTAGAATCTTTCAGGAATTAAAAAGACCGGCTTCAAAGTTGTTTTCTTTACGATTTAATGATTGGATTATATTGAGCTGTTGTATCTCTGGATAAGGAGCTTCTTTTCTCTTTAAAAAAAAGCATTTTTTTTTTATAAAAGCAAACTTCTCTATTGATTTTCTGTATGATACAAGCCGTAAAACTACTCTCACGACTCAAAACATTAATACTATAGCAGGAATATAGCAGCCAAGTTCATGTCACTTATTGTACTTTTTCAGTTCAAAACCTGAAATACCTTCTTTTCTAAGCAGCCGTATCTCACTACCTGTACAGTTTATTTCTTCAAATTTATTTTTTATTTTTATATTTTCTTTTAAGTCATGGTAAATGTTGATTTTATTCATCTCATATAAGTGGGTTTTCTCATGATTTTGTTTGTCTATAAAGCAAGATTTGAAACTTAACTGGGATAAAATACCTGGAAACACAGTGAGCCTTTTCATGGTGTAACACTGCCTCCATGTGGCCAACACTACACACACATGCTGGTAAATAGGAATATTTTCAAGTAAGTTATTCTTACAAAGTACAATAACTATATGTTATAGAGCAACTTTTAAATATTTCCCCCATATTAATTGTTTGACCTTTGTTTTTGTTCTTATGTTATAAAACATTGCTGACTAAAACATGAAACTTTTGATAATCACAAATAAAACTATTTCATAAAAGTTTTTTTGATGTGTGTCAGCTGTTGATAAAAACATATTTTGATGGCTTTCCCAATCGTTAAGAATACACTTAATTTTGATATGGTGCAAAAAAAATTTCAAATGTTAGAAAAAAAATATGTGCTCACTTTCTGGACATCTTATTATAAAGAGATGGGACAGGGACAGCAAAAGTCTCAAAAAGTTATGCTCAAAACACCTAAAGGAACATCTAATTAAGGTCGATTTGCGACATGTCAGTCTCATGACTTGGTTGAAAACCCAGAGAGGATGAGTCTCTTCAAAGGGGTTCATGCCTCCTTAAGAGTCAGAGAATCTTGGGACATCTCAGTACAAATACCAGAAAACCAAAACTGGATGACTGTAATCTTCAGGACTCTAGGCAGTACTGCGTTTAAACCAAACATGAGTCTGTAGTGGAAGTCATTGCATTTGTTCAAAATTACTGTCTAATACTATTGTAAACACAGTCTGATGCTGCAAAAGATGGTTAACATAAAAAGAAAAAACAAACGTACATGATCCAAAAACACAGGGACCAAATTCACTTGAAATGGTCAATGGCAAAAAGTCCTGTAGCCTGCAATGTCCAGGTACTAAACTGGCCTTCCTGCAGTCCTTATCTGTAAAACATTTGCTGCATGATAAAACCAACCCACAGTTGGGCAACTGAATTCTCTACGGCAGCGGCTTGAGGCCCAAAGGGAGCACTTCATAATCTATAGGCCTGTTCTAGTTTTTTCACCTACGTGTGAAAGAGGGAGGACAGAGAAAAGAAGAGGAGTGAACTGTTACAAGGAAAACTCCAGAGAGCACAACACCAAGTGTCTTTTCTCAAGTGAAGGCTGGAGATCTCAGGAAAATACTGGCAAAGGAATTGTGGAGCAGGGATATTATGAAACTGGATTAAAGGGTCAGTACTACTTGGGTGTCTGTGTGTGTGTGGAGGAGAACTCGATATTTTGACTGGAGACACTGCAGCTGTGGAGTCAACCCTCACTGAATTCAGCTTCGAAAGACATGGAAAGAGAGACAGGGAGTGCATTATCTCATCCATGTACAAAGACTATGGGATATAATTCCTTTAAAATGGACTCTACCTTAACATATCTATGACTGAACTCTTGGCAAGCCAACCTCTGCACTGCAAGACTTTGTTATCACAGGTTTTGAAGTTTAAAAGAAATGTCCTGACTGACTGTTCCTCTCCGCTGCTTCCACTGACCCCTATCTGATCCACTTCCACCCGTGAAGCCCAACAGAGGAATGGTTGCTCTGTGTAACTGAGAATCATTTACGTCTGGATGGCTTAAATCTTTGCTTGAGGCTTTCACACTTTCTATTTTGGTGGAAATATGGGATTGGAAGAGTTAACTGTTCCTTGGATCTGCGAAAACTGGCTCTTAAATATCGGGGCCTGACCTTTGACCTTTGTAAACCTGCGATGAACTGCACTCCTAATGCCACCATCGATCCACAGCTGGGACTTGCCTTAGGCCCAGAGGAAGAAGATGCTGGATCCGAGGAAAGTGGTGGTGGCGGTGGTGGCGGAAGCAGTGGGGGCCTTTGGGTGACCTCCCTGCTCGGCGTTACTCTCATGATCATGTGCGCCTTGGGTGTGGCAGGCAACATTTACACTCTCATTATCACTCGATCTGCTGCTTTGCGCCGCACCGGTTCCATGTACGTCTACATCATCAATCTGGCTCTGGCTGACCTGCTCTACCTCTCCACCATCCCCTTTGTGGTCTGCACGTACTTCGCCCATGACTGGCTGTTTGGCGAGGCTGGCTGTCGCATCCTCCTGAGTCTGGACCTTCTCACCATGCATGCCAGTGTCTTCATCCTGGTCGCCATGAGCCTTGAGCGCTACCGTGCTGTGGCTAAGCCCTTCAGTGCTCACAGGTCCTCATCCCGCAATCGCAAGATAGTCGCAGGGGTCATCTGGGGGTTAGCTTTCATGCTAACACTTCCCATGATGGTGATGATACGTCTCAAGGAGGGCAAACCGACTGCATCAGGTTTGGTGAAAAGGATCTGCTTCCCTACCTGGACTCCTGAACCCTTCAAGGCATACATCACCCTCCTGTTTTTGACAAGTGTTTTAGTACCTGGACTGGTGATCGTTGGGCTGTATATGGGGCTAGCTAGGCGATACTGGGCTGCACAAGCTAGCCTAGGAGGGAGCAGCCGCTCCTCCAGGAGGAGAGGACTCAAACAGAAAGTCGTATCAATGATCTTTAGCATTGTTGTTGCTTACTGGGCTTGTTTTTTACCTTTCTGGGGATGGCAGCTAGCCAAACTGTTCTCCCCAGAATCCCTCAGATCGCTTTCTTCAGCTGCTCATAATTATGTGAATTTCTTTGTTACATGTCTGACCTATGGGAACAGCTGCATCAACCCATTTCTTTACACACTACTTACCAGGAACTACAAAGATTACTTGGCCCAGAAAGGTCAGTCTGTCAGTTCAAGCAGGGCTGACCCCGGGTCAGCTGTGACTACACCACTGCATGACCTTTAGTGGACGATAAAGGATTACTGAGTAGAGACAAACGAGAGGGGAAAATGCATTTTAGCCTGAGCATAAACATTTTAGCTCTGGTTGACTGGATGATATCATTTCAGTGAGACACTTGTTAGTAGCAGTACTCATAACAAAGATTGTAAATACACAGATACGTGACACTGCACATTTCCAGCCCTGTTAGCAATTATCTGTGAAGGATTCAGAGAAATGCAGCACAGCAGGTGAATATTGGCACTCCAACCTTAAGACTTGAAGTCTGACTTTCAAGTTAGCAACAGATGACATTCTGGATATAATCTATTTGATTGGATCTTTTAACTGCTGGAGTTTGGTTTAGCCAATTTATTTAAAGGGACTGCACAGGTTAGGGCAACTTCAGGTGGCCTGATGCATTTGTATACTGTAGTGCTTATCTTGACTCTGAGAAGCTCATTACAGTTCAAGTACAAACTTTTACCCCACAGTTTAAACTGAGGTTTAAATTCCAGATCAAATATAACAGCCCTACATGGCAGCCTCTACCACCCTCAGTTATCACCCAGTTAATTACAAGTTATATCTGTAAGCTTACTGATTCAGCATACTATTAATATTTCTTTTCTTGCTTTTTAAAGACATTTACAATCAAACACTGGCATACTGCAACAGCCCTTAAGAGCGTTTTTCCCTTCAGTTTTACGGTATTTCTGAGTATGTATCAGCACCTGTCAGTTTGGCTACTTCCAAACGACCTGTTGTAGGAAAAATTCTTTAAAGAGCTGCTGAGCTCTTTTTTTTGTGATGTCATTGACATACTCCTTCAACACACATAAAGATCCCCTTTGGGAATGTGTTTGCATCGTGTCACATTCCTCAGCCTCAGGCCACTGATTCTTTGAGCTCTGCTGCAAATTGTCTCTGTGGAATTTGCTTCACCTCATCTTTGTCGTATATAGTCCCTCATTTTACTTCATCTACCGTACCGTGACAGCTCAGCTTATATCTTAGCCACACTTACACTGTGAGCTGTGGTATTAGGTCAAATTCTTTCCTTTTCTCTTATTATGATTTATACCACCATTTTGCACAGCACAATCACATCTCATTTGGGTTTTTTGTCGAATCATGATTGATGCAGAAGGATACAAAATTAAACCAGACTCTGCATTGATCAAGTTATTCGTCATGATCATTCTGCAGCTACCCTTTTTTATTATGGTTTTAGGACTGGGTTTTATATTCATTATTTTTGGAAATCCAAAATGTTAACTACGCCAACATTTATTCTCCTATCTTTGCCCTTTCACTGACCCTGTTTTTGGCTGTAATGCAAACCAAGGCAGAGAGACATTAAACACAGCTACTGCTGCTGAAAGAGGCACAAACCTTTGCAAGTAAACCCGGGAAAGTCTTAAGAGCTGTTAGGTTAAATATGTGGTATTTATATGAAACTTGATTGCAGGTGCAAAGCAAAGTTTTTAAGTGGACATGGTTTATAAAAATATGTTTTGCAGATGGTGATTGATGTTTAAAGGACATTTTTATGGTTTTAAGAATGTCATGGTATTAAAAGAAGTCGTATGACATAACGAGGGGTGTCCCACATCCTTCTGCGGTAAAGTTTTAAGTTCCCACCCCTTGCTGCTACACTCTGATGGACAATTTCTCATCACTTGCATGCCAAAGCAAGAGTTCAAGTCAAGAGTGTCAATTTGCCATGGTGAAGTTATGCATGTACAGAGGCTATAGTCCTCAGGGAAAGTAGCCAGGGGTTTCCACCCAACCCAAGGCTCTTAATTGCAACCCAGTTCCCACTCTCTCTCTCTCCCTGTTCCCTGCTCTATCCGCTGTCCTAATCTCTATAAATAGCAAATATTTCCCAAAAGAAGAGCAATGATTTGGTTTAGTCCCAAAATGGCATTGCTTCTCCAATGAATACATGATCTTTGCAAAGCACCAGCACAAAACTCTGTTGACATCTGCTTCAAACTTTATATTATCTGATAAATCTGAAGTTAGATAAGAAATCCAACTGATTTTGAATGTGGGACTGCACATGTGGACGAATTTCATGGATGCTTCAATTACACTCAATACAAAATTTATCACATTAGGATTAAAACTCTCTTTGGACATCATTTTTGTAAATTGTACTTGTGTCAAGCAGTGTAAGAGGTCAACAAAGAGACAGAGGGGTTTTTTTTGCACAGCATTTATTAACAAGCTCAGAGACCCCTGACATATGTGCAGACACACAGGTGCTTTGGCTCCCTCTTTGGGCTGATTGCTCTTACAACATCAGCACTCCATGTTTGTAGGGATCTCTTATGACATCTTGAGGCCTGGGCTTGATATGAGGTTTAACACAGACTTTACCAACAACAAACAAAAAGGGAGGGAAAGGTCACGAGGAGTTCGCCATCTACTGCATTTTGAAGCCAATGAACTGGGCCATTCCGTCGACCCTGAAGTAGTCATATTTGACATCACCCAGGCGGTTTGGGAAGTCGATCATGCTGCCATCGGGGAGCTTGATATAGAAACATTCCATGTTGTAATTGATGTAAAACTGTAAGAAAACCAAGACAACACACAAAGTTATCTTTCAGCTTCAAAAGTTCCAGTTATCATTCAATGCAAAAGACAAGCAAAATAATCACTAAGGTACACCAGGACACTCCTCATGTAGGGGCAATGAAGTTTTATAAGCCACTAAAAAGCACCTCATGACTGAATGGCTCAATGTCTGTTGACCTAAGAGTCTTAGTGTCACAGAAAAGATAACAACCTCATAAGTAACCTCTATTGCAAAAGCTGTTAGGAAACATGAGCCAACATGAGACTACAGACTACAAATTTTTACAAATTCCTGCAGAAAATGCCTTTTAGATCAGGATCCGTCTCACAACACATGTGAAAACCAGCTGTAGATAAGGGATAGGCTTTTTGCAGTAACTTGAAACCACAATAACCTGTTTCTATTTGCTAATTTTGCCTTTCATTGTATTTGGATTCACAATAAATCTTGGAATGCCGGTTTTTTAAGTGCTGAATCATGTCCGGCTGCAGCTACTGCTTTGACTTTGTCTCTTATCCATTTTATGACCAGTTACTCATGGTATTATGAAATACTTACTTTTAATGGTTAATTAATACATAAAAAGATGGTTATCATCAGTAGTAATTTGCATCATCCCTAGTATAATAATATATGCATTATTATAGTATGTGCTATAGTTAGATTGTAGTTAAACTGATTATCCTGACAATGATAAAATTGATAAAATGCACTGAGAGAAAAATAGAGGACTAAAATCTTTATCTTATGGCTGATACAGACCTGGAAAAAGCCCATCAAATCTTCCCAACAATGTATGAAATGTTTAGTTTTAAACAACACATTAAAAGAGTACTTCATATGCTGAAGCATGTTAGTTACTTGCATGAACGTAAGGGGATATGATGATGATGATATCATGATATGCCTGTTTGATTTGCATATATTGTCAAAGGCTACTCAACAAAACTATCTGTTACCAGACTGAACCTTTGGAATTTGAAAGAACACAGAAAAACTGGCCAACACCACACCTTGCTCTCCTCTCCACAGGTAAAGGGGAAGTTTTCTTCTCGCTGCTCCTCACCCCAACTTCCCCCAGACTTGCAGTTGATGACAATGGTGTCTGTAACGCCGTTGAGGTCAAAACGAGGGTTGAAGTGCAGGGCGATGTTGTCAGCATCATGACCGATGTTGATGGAAAAGCTGAGAGGAGGAAGGAAACATACAGGTCAAAAGAGTGCAATGAAAAGAGGAAGAAGTGGATGAAGCATTAACTTGTCTTCTGTATGCTCAGACTAACTTCCTCATGGATCCACATTCAACTCCTTTTATTTCTTACCTATCTTATCTGATGAGGGCAACCTACCTGTTGCAGTCATCTGAAGGCTTGGCACGGATCTTGAGCTCCTGCCCGGAAACAAACCCCATGTCTGTGATCAACTGTAAAGGGAAAGAACAGAGAGGAATATGAGCTCTAATAACAATGGGTGTTTGATCGCTATCTAGACTTACATGAGAAATTTGCAGGAAATAAGTCATGTTACATTTTCTTTGTGAAAATGATACAAAGCCAAATATATTTAGAAGAGTTTGGGACAAGATTTTACTGCACTGGGCTGAACCCTCAAAACATGTCTACTCTGGTCCTTCAAACAGTCTTTCAGTTCCAGCCAGAGGACATGTCCAAGCAATCTTCTAATCTAAATGTTACGGGCCTACATTTTTCTATGATTTGAAAGACAAATGCCGTCTTTTTCTACAATGTACACTGGTGAGAAAATCAATGATCCGAGTTACGCTTATCTTAGCTGTTGATGATCAACCAGGATGCAACTGTCCCCCCTTGGAAACAGGAAGGCGGCATATTTGTCAATGCATGTAATCATTACAGAGACAATAAAACCATAAAAAACATGGCCATTATATCTGTTGACACTACAGGGATACCCGTGACACAGATCACTAAAGTGCGTGGGAGTTCGACTGCAGTGAGAAGATTAGTAAAAAACTGTCAGTTAAAACTGACAATGCTTTTCGGACTTACACGTAGGAATTTCTGGACCGTTGGTGAACCTGGTTGTCTAATCATTACAGCTGTAAATCTCAGTCACTTTTGTCCTTTTTATCTTCTGCTTGAGCCTCTGCTCGTGAATTTTATCATCCTAAACCCTGTGTACCTTTACCACACCCACTTACAGTATATCAGTTCATAGTCTTTGAAATTAGCCCCTATCCCACCACAGAGCTGGTTTATATTTGACTGCACAGGTAAAGTACTGTAGAGTAATTAAGTGGATATACATTGCAGTAATCTCAATTTTGGCCATTAGAACATTTTATTTAGTTGCAGTGAGTGTCACCCTACAAGTTCATGTATTCCATTTGATTTGATGCCCTTGGAAACCTTTTAAACTTACAGTATTCCTATGATTCAGGGAGGTTAAAGCAGCTTGTGATCATAAAATACTTTGACAGACAAAAATATAACTGTGCCATGGAGTGAATGCAAATTGATTAAAAGAACAAAATGCTCTTAATACTGCCCCACAATCTGGCAAATGAATGTTAATGTCAAGTTAAGTAATCTGAACCTCATTAAAAACCTTTAACTCGCAAATATTCAACCCTTTGACTGTTTTAAAAGGTTTAAATATGTGAAATTCATTGTATTTTTTAATTTATTAGAGCATATCCTTAATTACAACTGTCCGTACAATGTGGCAGTAAAAAGGGGAAAAAAAATCCTCTTCTACGTTTGGTCGAATCTCGTAACTCAGACGAGGAATAACAAAATAAATGAACGCAGATTTATGTCCTTGACTAAAAGGAAAATGCTTAGAGGTATAAGAACACATTTGTCCTCAGTACTAAGCTCACCCTTACCAATTAATTCAGGCCTATCAAATATACAAACCTTCAACCCTAGTAGTGCCTAACTATTCCATAAATTAATCTCTTCACAGCACCTACCATCTTGACGGTCTTCAGTAGGGTGATCCTCAAGCAACAGAGCTCTGCGGGCAGGTGAGCGGCTTATATAACCCTGCTGACGCTGGGGGCAAGAGGCAGCCAACCGCTGGAGGGCTGTAAAGGCGACTAATCACAAATGACAATATTTGCTCCTTGATGACAGCTCAGTCGATGTTCTGCTCAGTATTAAATGATGTCTATTGCAGTTTTGAGACATGTGAAGAGCTATGTTAAACACGGAGAATGACAGAGTTATATAATCGTTTTCTATTGTAAATATAACTACACTCAGTTAAATTGATGCCTCTCTGTAAAAAGCATTACTCCGGGAGCAAATGCACTGTAAAACAACCTATTTAAGGAGAAATTATTGAACGAATACAGGGATATACTTTAAAAGGCAAAACAAAGTGTTTGTGTGAGGTGCTGCACTGTGACGAAAAAATTGACATATGGGGGATTGCAGTTTTTAGCACTTCAGCATGGGCTTCATTTCTCAAGAGGCTGCTGCTTGGCTCTTCCCTGAAAAAGGTCTTGTACGGATGGCAGCACGTGTTGCCACACAATCTGTATATGTTGACAAGCATTAATGAAGCCTGCTTAGATGTGTACTTGTGGCACTCATTTCCCCATGGCATATGTTGGCTTTGAAACAGTGAGCTGATAACAAGCTGGATGGTACCTTTCCTCTTCATAATGGAGGAAAACAGCTCCATGATTTCCAAAAGGATTATCAAAATATGAAATGTCAGACCTCAGGTCCACTTTGACTCACTCCATGATGAATAGGCTCAGGCTCAGAAGAGTCTCCTGTGATTTTGGATAAGGTTTAAATTTGGTTTCTAGTACAGTTTAAACCATCAATTATGAATGCAGCCACAAAGTGTGTTCACAGACAGTAGTTTTAGAGGTGACTTTGAGTTATTTATGTCTGCTTTACATCGCCCAAAAATCACTGCCATCCAGCATTGGTTTTTGACCTTGTATTTCTCCAGATTTTCTTAACCTTTTAATGATATTGTGCACTGTGGATGATAAAATCTACAAATTGTTTGCAATTTTGCATTATAGAACAATGCATTGGAATTATTAAAGTGTTATTTGCACATGCAGCCTCTCACAAAGTTGTGAACCTCTTTTTATCTTTACTTCTGAGAGACTTGGACTCTATTTGATGCTATTTTTATAATAAGTACATTTTACTAACCTGTTGCAATCTTATCTGATGTAATTGATGGAGACTATTCTTCTATGTGCTCTTTTTATCGCTACATAACCTTTTTATTTATTTATTTTAAGTCTGTAAGCATGAACTAAAATGGCTTTTTTTTACATAAATTGATAAGATGTTTCAGTTTCAACATTTTATTGATTGTCTTTGCACTATTTTCAATTGAATACAGGGTGTAAACAATTTGCAAACCCTCACAGTTGTTTTTTGATCAACATTTTACATAGTATTTCAGCTATTTTGGGACTGTAGCATGTTATTTTTATTTTCAGCCTTTATTTAACCAGGTTGGTCCCATTGAGATTACAAATCTCTTTTACAAGGGAAACCAAGAGGGCAGCAGCATTGTTCCTTCAACAGATGAAATTCACAGCACCTCAACATTATGGCAATCTCACATAAAACATTTACACACAGATGAGGTAGACTGTAATGATTTCACTATAGTTTTATATTCATTTATTGTCACAAGAGCTTTAAGGTGAAGTTCAGACTGAAGTAAACAAATGCAACACACCTACATACATTGAGCCTGAGTATGCTTTCAATGCCAAATAGAGAGACATTTAAAAAAAACATTATTTAAAAGGAAAAACAAAGGCATACATAACAATTATAAACACAAATTGTGACTTTTTGTTTGAGTTAGGTTAATTGGCAAAAGCTTTCATCAAACATATATTCCTTTGTATATATTTGATTTCCACGTTTTGAGAATTATGTCATTGTGTGTAAGCGCCTGTGGAAGAGAAAGTGGGTCCTCAAGTCAAAAACTAGGTCAGGACTTCACCCAAGCAATACAATGTGGGTGTGACTTAAAGTACTGTAGCCAATCACATGTCTCCATTTTTTGGTGGGCGTGACACATACGCAACTACCAGACACTGAAGCTAACCCGAATAAACAACTAAGTTAGCTTTGGAGGTAGCTAGCAAGTTTTGGTATGGCTACTTTTTCAATGGCCTTTCGTTAAAATCCTGTCATATTATGTAGAGTGTAAACGTTTAGAAATGTGGTTGATATATTTACGGCTATTTTGATTTTATGTATGTTGTTTTCAACGTTTTAAGGGTGATATAGTAACAGTAACTTCGATAATTGGTTAGCATAAGCTAGCTGGGATACAACCTAACTTTCTGGAGGTATGTTGGAGACTAAGTAGTCTTTTGTTTTTACTGTTTGCCTGTAGAAATGGCGTCGTTACCGGCGACTGAAACGGTGGTATGCCCGGGTGCAATACCAGCGGAGTCCATAGTACCCGCTTGTATGTTTGCACCGGACCAGGGATGTGCTGACGACCCAGCCGGCGAAGACGGCTTCGAGGACGGGGAGGCCACCAACGGAGAGTCCGCGGATCATTTAGACCTTAGCAGCAAGGTGGGCCTTACTGTGAATTAAAGAAGAGTAATGCAAACATTTAAAGATATTCCACACGGGAAGCTTTATGTTTTGGTTTGGGAGTTGACTGCTGTGTAGTGGAATTGCAAATATCCAGTTTCATGTGAACTGCACACTGTGCATTTTTTGCAGACTGTGCAAAACATCAAGGAGAGTGACACGTATATGCATGCATGTGTAACTGCATCCAGCTGGCAGGCTATCAATCCGCTGGGTTTATTTACATTATGTGCACTTTTTGCAGGGCAGCCAAGGACATCAGACTTTATTGACAAACCATTTACATATGTTTTGACTGATATGCAAAGCACATTGTCTTAACATTAAAGTTAATATTTGCAGTTTCTCGTCAAAACGGAGACTTCAACACAGTGTTTGTTCTTTGACTCTCTGTTTGCAGATGGTCCTTGTGAGTCCAACAGGGGAACAGTATGATTCATTACTAAGGCACCTAAGGGAGCTGATAGATGAAGGCTGTGGAGAGACTATCTATGTTGTTGGAATGGGCTCAGGTAAGAGTGACTTGTTCAAGAGTGATCTCTCTTAACAGTCAACTGTTCATGAGTACACGCTCCAACACACCTGATTCATATGATTAGCTCGTTATTAAGCCATTACGGAGCTTGATAACGAGCTGATCATTTGAATCAGGTGTGTTGGAGCAGGGAAACATCCAAAACATGCAGGACAGTGGGCCTCGAGGACTGGACTTGAGAACCACTGGCTTAAACAAAATGATAAATCAACTTATAGCTATCCACTTCCTACATTATAAAGCTTAAAATGCTGTCTTAAATCCCTTGAGTTTAAATCTTGTCTAAAAAGTTGCTTTTGGTGTCCAAGGCTGGAATTTGAACAACTTTTGGATAAAGTTTTTAATTGAGAGAACACTTGGAGCTCTAAATAGTACATTTCTTAAAATGCATGCAGATATATTGTAAGTTATAACAGATTCTTGGAGCCATGCGCTATATTGAGTTTGGGCACAGCAAGATGGAGTGTTGCCTGGTCTGTATTAGAGGAGTCAGATGGCTGAGGAGATCCAGCAATAAATCATGTTGTCCTGAAACAACCTCTCCTAAGTTATCACCTCTGATTAGACCTCCTCTGATAGTCCACTGACCTCTAGACTTTCACATCGTCTACACTAGCTGTAAGTTTCTCACAGTCCCAAATACTCAAATGAAAATGATGTTATAGTATCCATGATTAAAGGTAGCAAACTATATTCATAAATGAGTCTCAAAGTGATGATTATATGATGCTAACACAGGTTGTTTTACTAATCAGTAACTTTAAGTACATAAAAACTGGATATGACAGTTAAACATCGATTTGTATGTTGGTATCAGTTGATTTTTAGGAGTAGGAGTGGAAGAATCCATGTCAGTTAATATGATCTGTGAGGCCCTTAAGGTAAAGGTGCCAGATTTAGCCGCGCAGGCTTAAAGATGATGTTTGTTGTATTAGAGGCAGAACAGACTTGGAAGAAATAGAATATAAATAAGTTTGTTTAGAGGTGTGTACACAAGCTTCCTGCAACGTCTTAATTGAAGAAATCTTATTTTGAATTGTGACTGGATTTTAGATGGGACCTTTACGAATACTTAATCAAATCTTTGCTGTCGCATGGAAAAGCAAATCCACAAAACAAAGAACGATGCTGTCCAGACAAATACAGCTTTTGCAGCAGCTTAACATGCACACATTCAAACATCTGCAGAAGAATGAGGGAAGGAGAGGAAAATGAGACAATGCAAATTTGAGGAAATTAGCCTGCAAGAAAAAAAAACAGATCATCTTTACACAGCACTGTACCCCTTTTACTGAGGCTGCTGTCTTGCACCACTGCGTTTCTACTGTAGCACAGTGTGGACAAATTAGTTGCACATGCATTTTTGTATTTACTAAGTAGCTGTACAGAATGCACCAGTTTGAAGATAAGGAAAATAAGTGTTTTTGCACGCTACAGAGATCTTAGTTTCCATGCATAACAGGAGTTTGTTTTCCTCAAAGTCCACCGCTTCCCCAACATTAGGGGCGAACAGGAGAGGGTTTCAATTTAGAATCGAATCCCTGTATATCACTCAGTGTTTCCATTTCCGCGGGCTGTACCTTTATTTGCAGTCCACTGCATGCAGGATTGAATCATATCAAGCCTATGAAAGATCATCAGCACATTAACCCATATGTGCACAAACAAAGGCAAGTTGACCCAAACACAGCCAAATGCACATATAAGTCACAGTATGTCTGACACGTTTTAGTCATCTTATGTGTGTTGAATAAATCCCATAGATGGCACCAAAGGCTTTTTAATATTTCACTTAAAGAAGGAAAAAACAAAAAGAGGTACAACCAGACTGGTGGTGTTTTTTTTTTCTTGTAGCTTGCAGCTCAAACATATAGTGTGTAATTTACATATTCCAGGCCATCGGGGACATTTTTACATATCTGAAGTCACTGGATAACACTTAATTTAAGCATGCTCAAGGATCAGGACACCATGTATCGTAGCAGAGATATCACAGCTGTCAGCTGCGTGTCCTCCCAGGCAGCTGACCGTGTTTGTGCGCTGTTCAGAGTCACTCTGAAACCCTCACTACTACACACCAACACCAGGGCCTTTGTCAGCCACCAGTTATTTTTGTCTGTTACAGCAACATGTGTGACCCATGTGGCCTGTCGGTGGGTCAAAGTGCACACTGTGAAAAGGGTGTCGTTTTACCTGACTCAGCAGAGGGACAGACTGTCACTAGTTCACCAGTTCATGTCTGTCTGTCTGTGTGTCTGTCTGGCGGGGCAGCTCGCTTTCTGGCCTCCTGACCTGACTGGTTGTTTCTGTTTCCTGTCAGTCAAAACTAACCTTTGTGGCCAGTGTGTAGATTGGAATACAGCAGTGAAGCAGCTGGTGGCTAGAGTTGCTCCAATGTGAATTTATTTTAGATGTTTATTGTGCTGTGTTTGTATGAAGTGTTTGGGCCCACAAACACACCACAATGGCAGCAAGTCAGTTCACTGAGGCACGTAGACTTGGTCAATACTAATATGATAATAATATGATCCTACATTTGACAGAAGACATGTGACATTAGAGTAATCCCTCTCTTTTTTACTTTGGAGTTTTACGTCATCACTCTTCCCTCTCTCTCTGTTTAGATGGAGGTGACTATGGTTTAGATGACAAGGACATGGAGGCATCAGTAGCCACTGTGAGGTCGCTGTGCGAACAGATCGAGGCTGACCTGATCCTTCTGAGAGAGAGGACAGACACTGGTGGAAAACTTCAAGACTACCTCATCCGCAGGCGTGTGGGGGAGCAGGATTTCCTGGAAGTCAGGTAACATAAAGGAAAATGAATAGTTTGCTAGTTAGCTCAGTTAAAATGCTCTTGAGCTTTGTCCATGTGGTGACTGTGACTGAAAAGTTGTGTGAGACCACAATTTGGAATCAATTTATAAACATTTCTGACGTTTACCAGCAATAAACGAAATAAAAAAAAATTGAATTTTGCCATATTTCTAACGTCTGTGCTAGATATTTATTTTACCGTCATCTCTCATCTTTTCTCCAGGGTGGCGGTAGTCGGGAATGTGGATGCAGGGAAGAGCACCCTGCTGGGGGTTTTGACCCATGGAGAGCTAGACAACGGCAGAGGCTTCGCTCGCCAAAAGCTCTTCAGACACAAACACGAGATGGAGAGCGGCAGGACCAGCAGTGTGGGCAATGATATCCTGGGTTTTGACCAGGAGGGACAGGTGAGCGGTTATGGCATGAAACCACAACATACTGTGAAAAGAGTTGATGTTATGTCAGACATTTTTCAGTCAGAATAAAAGTCTAAAAACAGAATTTTGGGGCAATTTTTTAAATTCTTTCCTATACTGTTTAAGTCTTCCCCACTTTTCTTCTTCTGTTAATGTCTTTTTAGGTTGTGAACAAGCCAGACAGTCATGGAGGCGGTCTAGATTGGACCAAGATCTGTGAGAAATCCTCTAAAGTCATCACCTTCATCGACCTGGCTGGCCATGAGAAGTACCTCAAGACCACCGTATTCGGCATGACAGGACACCTGCCTGATTTCTGCATGCTCATGGTGAGAGGGAAGAGGAGCTCGCAGGAGGAGTCGCTCAGTCTTTTGTTTATATCTACAATGAAGTGGGAAAAAAAGCAAAAAAGATGAACTGTCTGTTTACCTGTTCCTGGTCTTTTTGTCTTAGGTCGGCAGTAACGCTGGTATCGTTGGCATGACCAAAGAGCACCTGGGTCTGGCACTGGCCCTTAATGTGCCCGTGTTTGTCGTGGTTACAAAGATAGACATGTGTCCAGCCAACATCCTGCAAGGTAAACAGATATGTAACTATAGTGTTTGTAAAAGCAGTTACATAACTGCAGAAATGTCTGTTTCACATGAACACAGCATTTTTCTGTGCGGTAATGATTTAGAAAACTCAGTACTTTAAAAGCCTCTGAGGGAAGGTAAATATTTATGCCCACAAACTCCTGAAGAGGTATTTGTTTCATGTGAAGCAAACGCAAAGTAGAATTTGCTTAAACTGCAAGTACCTAAAAGAGCAAATTAACAAAGCAAGTGGGAACAGATCAGCAAACAAGCTGTCTTCTTTTCTGAATATGATTAAAGAGGGTTTTAGAATAGGAAAGTTACAAGTAAAAAGTGTTGTCTAATTAAAACCTGTTCTTTCCACCTGTTTCCTAATCGCATTCCTTACACCCAACTGTTTAACAAGCATGTTGGTGATTAAAATGTTGCAGTCTTTTAACCAGCAAATGTACGATATGTCCCTAAACACTGTGACAATGCGGGGTACTCTTTAATTTTTGTGATATTTTTCATTACTACAGAGACGCTAAAATTATTACAAAGGTTACTAAAGTCTCCGGGCTGCAGAAAAATCCCAGTGTTGGTCCAGAACAAGGATGATGTCATCGTCACGGCCTCCAACTTCAGCTCTGAGAGGTAAAAATACTCTGCTGAAGAGCAGACAAAGGATCCAAGAGATGTCTACAGAAAGACTGATTCAGATTGAGTTAGATGGGTAGATATTCATTCAAGTGGTTCAACACTGTCCTGTGTAAAATTCTAATGATTCATGACGTCATCTGAGAAACAACAATGATGGATGACTGAGATCTGTGGGGCCTCAGCCAGCACTGCTTAAAAAAATAATACAGCTCTGTAGTGGAAATGACCGCATGGACTCAAAAATCACACCAGAAAGTGTTTTCTATTAACTGAGTATCTACAGCGCAGGTTAAAACTGTACCGTACAAACAGGAAACCAAATAAAAACATGATCCAGAAATTCTGGCAGCTTCTCTGAGCTCGTTTAAGGAGGACTAAGGTGAGCTGGAAAACTGTCCTGTTGTCTGGAGAATCAAAATGTGACATGTAAAAATCATCTATGCCACATCCTTGGTGTAGAAGAAAAGAGAGAGACCGCCCGGCAATGCATGAAAGCATAACAGAAACCATGAACTGTTGCGCAGCTGGTCTCCACAGTGACTAAAGGTTTGAAAAGACAACGCAACAGGACCAATCATGTTTCTGGCATTAGATATGAATATCTAACCCAGCAGCCCACCTCTTTCGGTATTGTGGTCATTCATCTTTCATGGATTCAGCTGATACTCCCAAACTAATGCAAAAATCTAAATTCTGGTTTTGTATTCATAGGTGTAGTATTAGTTCCTTATTTCAGAGAATCTTCCATCTAGGAGGTCATGTGTCAGGGTTGCTAAAGAGCCAAAAAATCTTGTCTTGCCCAAGTGTCCTTAAACATGCAGATCAGATGCTTGGTGTTTTTTTTTTTTTTGCTTGTCACTGTGCGGCAGTATAAGAATGTCATACTTTTCTCTCCCTCTCTGCAGGATGTGCCCAATCTTTCAGATCTCCAATGTGACAGGAGAGAACATGGACCTGCTGAAGATGTTCCTAAATCTCCTCTCCTCCAGGACAAACTTCAGCAACGATGAGCCTGCTGAGTTCCAAATAGACGACACATACTCAGTACCGGTATGACACAAAACTCACATGTTGCTACGCATGTGGATTCCTCTCCCCTCTAGCTCAGTCGGTCCTCTTTCCTCTGGTTCGTCTTGTCTCTTTTTCCGCACATTAAAGTGTTTACCAACAGTGGTCCAAATGTTAGAGTCGGGGCCCTGAGGGGAGACAACAGCAGAGTGCAGCAGCAGGTTACACAGACACATAAGTCAAAGTGTACTGTCACTGACGGGCCTTTCTGTAAAGTGACAGCAGAGCAACATGAAGAAAAACAAGCATCGTCTGAACTCCTTTACAACATATTAAAGGTTTTCTGTTTTTTTTCCCCCGTGAGACCAATCAGCAACATGACACCAGTGTTAGCATGATCCTCATCAGACTGATCTAAAATCAGAACTGTACAAGTCAGAGCATGCTGTCCTCATTCAAAGGCTTCCAGTATGTATTCAGCCTTCAAGTCAACACTTGACAATCGCAGGGGGAGTTAGAAAATGATCAGTGGCATGCAGGCTCCTGTAAACGCCCCGTAGATTCTCTTCAAATTGATCCAAATTCAGTAACACCTCCAGTCCGTCAATGTTTTCTGTCATTATCTTGTAGAATCATCAATAGTCTTTTTGCACGCACAAAGTTCTTGAAAATTTCCGGAAATTACCTGGTGAGCTGTACGTCTGAACAGAAACATCTGAGTTTTTCACCCCGACTTCATCATGGGGTCACGTCATTGTATCACAAAAATCTTATGTAACCTCTGTCTGCACGGGTTTGAGTCCTGTGTGTTGTTTTCAGATGACATCAGACCAAGCAAAAACAACAAAATACCAAAACCTCTTACTGAACTTTGGGGTTATTTAAAAAATAAATAAGTAAGGAAAACACAAGACGTACTGGATTGTCCCCCTGGGGAAGTTTGTCTTTGGCGGTAATGCACGGAACATACCGGTTTGTGTGACTTTGTGTAACATAAAACAAACACAGCGCAGATAAAATGTTGGAGCTTCTATAATTGTAGTAGTTTGAGATAATTAGCTAATATAGCCTGAAGTAGAAACTTTCAAGTGCACTGACATGACTTGTAGAAAACTGCATACTGAGAGGCTTTATACGTGTGTGATCTGTGATTGTCTGTGACTGGCAGGGTGTGGGCACAGTAGTATCAGGAACTACGTTACGTGGACTGATAAAGCTCAACGACACACTGCTGTTAGGCCCAGACCCCCTGGGCACCTTCATCCCCATCGCTGTTAAATCCATCCACCGCAAGAGGATGCCTGTGAGAGAGGTCCGCGGTGGACAGACGGCGTCTTTCGCTCTCAAAAAGGTTTGTGAGAAACCAAGTGACCGCTGAATCCCCGTCTATAAACTGAAACAGAACAAAGGCAAGCAACAAAGTCTGAAACTTTTGAAAAGTGTAATTATTCAGAAACTTTTGGATGTGACGTGCGTATGAATGAGTGTCCTAACCGTCTAATAAGCTTTATAATTTATGTAAATCTTGAAACGTAGGGGCAGGTAGAGCTCCGTCTCTGGTTCAGGTTGTCTTTGTCGGTTGTCTGTAAAAGCCTGAGCCCCTCACTTCTTTTCCTCACTTTTTGAATTTTCAAATTTCTTTTCTCTTAGATCAAACGTTCATCTATAAGGAAAGGCATGGTGATGGTTTCTCCAAAGCTGATGCCACAGGCCACCTGGGAGTTTGAGGCTGAGATTTTGGTGCTGCACCACCCCACAACAATATCCCCGAGATACCAGGCCATGGGTAAGTACTAATGGTGTCAAATCTCTCATTTTCACCTTGTATCCACACAACTCCAGCATTTTTGAGATATCCTTGGCAACACTGCTAGCAAATGTCAGGTAGAAAGAAGAGTGGTAGTGTTTTTTGTGTCTAAACACAGAAAGACTTTCAGACTCTTCTGGTGTAAACTTTATTCTGACACCTTTCTCCATCACACCAGTGCACTGTGGCAGCATCAGACAGACAGCCACCATCCTGACCATGAACAAAGACTGTTTACGGACAGGAGATAAAGCCTTAGTCCACTTCCGCTTCATCAAGACTCCAGAGTACCTGCACTGCGACCAGAAACTGGTGTTCAGGGAAGGACGCACTAAAGCCGTGGGCACAATTACAAAGGTAATGTAGAGTACAGAGACTTTAATGTTTGATGTTTATTCATAGCTCCAGCACCCAAAACACATGGATGACTGCAGGTTAACTCACCCTGGCTTTGCTGCTCTATTCCAGCTCCTCCAGTCGGTGAACACACAGGCAGCTAAAGCCCAGCAGGCTAAGATGCAATCCAGTAAGAAGACTTTCAAAGACGGCACAGCAGCCAGCGAGGAGGCCGGATCATCGGCACGGCCGCCCAGCCCGAGCTCGGCACAGCTACCAGTGAGTAAATCCACACTTGGGGAAACTTTTAAAGCATGCAGTAAGTTTTAATGTTGAAAAATTGAGACTGTTAGTGCTTGAAAAGGTTAAGTCAGTGCTTAACTTTTGAGGATCATTGCACCACAGAGGCAGAATTTACACCCAGAACTTGGCAGTGGGCTCATTATTTAGCAGTTTTCACCAATGCGGTCAAAGTCTCCCTGACAAAGACGGACCTACAATCCTTCTCCTCTGTTGAATGTTATTACTGAGGCATGATTCTATCCAAAACGATGTTATAATGCAGCTCTCAATTTTGAGCTAGACTTCTGGTTGTAATTTTTAAAGCTATTTGTTTCCTTTCATTCCTGATCTTTGCTGTCTGGCGGGATAATGATCTTTCCTTTTCTGTGCTCTCTTCCTCACCCCTCAATGATGTGGTTTTCTTCCTCCCATGCTAATTCTTTTTCGTTCTCAAACCTCCTGTCATATGCGTTCTTGCCTTGCCCATGAAATCCTTCTTTTATCCCCTCGTGAGGTTACACCTGTCCTCCCGCATCATCCTTTTTCATTCTCTCACATCCTCGTTCCCCCGTCTCATCCTCACCCCTCCTCCTCGCTCTCATTTGCCCTTCATGCTCTTTCCTTCAACTTTAACGCTTTTCTTTTTCTGCTCCCCCTCTCTCTCCCTCCCTTTCTCCCGCTGTCTTGGCATGCTGCGTCAGACAGTGGCAGAGGAGGAGGCTCTGTGTAAAGAAGGCAACAAAGAGAACAAGGTAAAGAAGTTTCTGCAGCCCCTGGGAGTCATGACGAGGTCCCTGTCTACTTAAGCTCGGATTTGTTTTTTGTTGTTGTTGTTGGTTCCCTCCCTTTCTAAACTTTATAAACAGGGTTTTCTGAGCATGCACACTCCTTTCCACGTGTATATTTCTGGTTCTGCAGAGTGACACAAGAAAACCACAGTCATCACACTGCAGTGTTTTTCTGCTCGCCTCTTTGAAAACTCACTTTTGTTCTTATTAGGTGTTTAATTACTGAAATGAGCTGGACCATAGTGGGTTTTCAGTGAAAGAGGAAAATGAAAAACTCTGGTCTCCAAGTTTGGGTGTTTGTACATAATTCAGGGTTCAGCCAAGTCGAGGAAAATAATAATTTGGTGTGTGCGCTCAAAAAAGTGCTGCAATTAGGTATGTTCCACACTCATCAAAAGTTATATTTCTGTAGTGTTAAAACAGACAACACCAACTAATGCAGCGCTGAAGCCCACCCTGAACCTTCAACAGTTTCATCTGAACATCTATGAGCTTCCTGTTATACCTGTTTGGCCCAACCCCTAACCCAGAAGTTGTTTCCAATCTCCTATTCAAGATAGTTTGATCTGTTAGTGAGCATTAAAACAATAACAACAGTTTGCAACAAAGACACAGTATACTTGTCATTTTCCAATAAAAATAAACACAAAAAAAAACCCCACAACTTTGTCGTATGCCAACAGTGAAGAAGGCTTCTAGAATGCCGGATTGGACCTTAAAGGTGGTTTAAATGAAGCGTCTTAGACGGAGACTGAAGAGGCTTGTCGGAGCACTGCAGCTACCAGAGCCTCACGGAGTTATTGAATGAGTTGAATAAAGTTTGACTTATCCGACTGTTTTGTTTTGGCTTAATGCGCCTTATAATCCGGTGCGCCTTATAATCCGGTGCGCCTCATGTATGAAAATAGACGCGAATAGACGCATTCATTGATGGTGCGCCTTATTATCAGGTGCGCCTTATAATACGAAAAATGTGGTAGTTTTGGCTAGGAACACCAGTCTGTTGACTTGTTCTGGCTTTAGTGATGAACGAAGGCAGGCAACAACATTGCTCCTTTATCACCTGTCTATAACCATAGTCCACTTTATGGCTATACATCAAGTGACCTAATCAGCTGTGTTTACTGATGATTACTTGCTAATTCAAATACTTGTCGCTCGCTCCGCGGTATGTGCGTGCACATATACTGATACATATGAGTCCAAATTAGAGCCACGCAAACAAACAAAAACTCATTTTTAAGGTGTGGCAGCTTTTGTTTAGCTGTGGCGTTGCCCCACAGTTGATTGCATATCAGGGAAACCCTGAAGCTGGTCATGTTGCCTTGGGGAGCAGACATGACTGCGTGACAAACTTTCAAAAAATTTCGTTTTGCTCCAAGTCCGTCAACTTGAAGCCAAAATGTTTCCAGTCATCCTACCTTTTTCTCAACCAAAGGCTGCCTTTCTGCCATGTTTTCAATCACATTATTGATCCACACACATCACACGCTTGCTGCAGCTGCACGTAACAGGTGTGCATTTAAAGTGTTTTCCCAGTTCGGGAATGTATACACACGCCGTGTTGTGTGGTGCAGTGATCGTGTTTCTTTGATTATAATGTTTTTATGATGGTGAGAAGCTAAATTGAAATCATGATTAAAATTCAATTAATCATCCAGCTCTATAAGAAGCTATCAGAGGGACAATGTAAAGCCAAGAGGAAGCATAGTAGCCCCTCTAAAAAGATCCACAGGTGACTTCAACACTATAAAGGCAGCATGATCCTGCTCAAGCTGTCTGTGATTTATCTTACTATGTACAAGCAGGCTTTGGTTCCTGCTTTCTCAGGTGAACAACCTCTTCTTTAATGCTCCTTATGATGGAGAAGCCCAGCCTCCAGCACAGCTCCTTAAGCTAAGTCATTCACGATGGACTCTTTCCACCTCAGCGTAGATACTGTCTGCTGCCACAAGGCTGCGTACCTGCAGTGAAGTGGAAAGCTAATGATGCCTGCCCTTCAGTTTTCCTCCCACTGCTCTGAGCTCAGTGACCACACCAGTGTAAACTCACCTGACAGTGAAGGTCGACTCAGGATCCTCACGATTAATGATTGAAATTTTACAAGTTTAAGAGTGAGTCTTAGAAATAATTAAACTTTAATTTAACATTATAATAACCTCCGGGTAAATCACAGTGCTGCATCACATAGAGGAGATCTGCATTTTTAATGAATGACAAAGTTGTAAAGGGCTTCCTCTTTCTACTTAACATTTCAAACAGAAACCCTGGGTTGTTGCGATTTACCTTTTTCATTTTCATCCTCCCTTACTTTGGGAAAAACTTTTTAACAAGTCTTGTCCCTCTTAACCTTTTCAAGTTCGAAGTTCAGAACTGCATTGTGTTTCCTTGAAATGCTTCAACCCCTTGAAACTGATCGACCAGCCTCTTTTAAAATCCCAATAAGCCTCAGTTTGTGTACCTGCCAGCTCACTGTGGTGTTTCTGTCCGTCTGCAGCTCAAGTCTGGAGGCGGGGGACGCCGGAGAGGTGGTCAGAGACATCGAGGGAAAGGCATGACCGCCACGACAATCTCAACAGCCGTTCCTGCAGGGGCAGCAGGCACAGCCTAGAAACACAAACCTTCTCTTCTCCTCAGCTCTCTTGGAGGGAAAATGACTGCATCAGACATCTGCTGGTTGAACACAAAGACCGGTGCTCATTTTTCCAACACATACGGATTCTTTAAGAGTTTGGCATCATAAGAGAGTGAAGTATTTTCCATGTTTGGTCATCTGAAAGCTTACCAGCGTAATTACTTGTGGGCTGCTGAGTGTAAGCTCCATTTTAGGATGAGTTTTAATTTAGTTTTCTGCAATTTGGAGATAACATGATCTTTTTTTTTTTTTTTTAATTTGAGGTGTCGATCTTGTTGAATGTTCATGAGGACTCCTCTAAAAGCGTGAGAAGTATTTCCAGCCAGCAGGGGCAGTCACTTTCCCTCCCTCTGTAACTCTTCTGTCCTCATCTCATCTTTCTGACTTTCACCACCTCTCTTGTCACATCAGTCATTTAGCAGAGAAGTAGACAGTTGTAAAAAGTTGAGCAGTGTTTTTATGCTACAAAGCTACACATCTCTGAAACTGGCAGTTTGAACGCACACTGGGGAACTGAGTGAACTGAAAGGGAACTGGCGGCCGATCTTTTTTGGTTTGAAGCTGATATATTAAAATAATAGATGACATTATTTTAAGCTGAATAGTCGCTTAAAATCCCCTTTATTTTAGGAAATGCGCTGTTGAGTTTACTAAAGAGTTGTCAAATCGCAATATTTTGATACCACAGATTTACAAAGACACTTTCTGTTGATTTAAACTTCAATACTATAAAAACAAGTCATATAAAATGAATAACTATTACACAATGGATCATATTCCCATGGCGACCATTACAGTCTGGGTTTTGAACTCGCATTAACATATTTTTTATGAGATACCAATACAATCAGCACAATTCTGCAGAGATGTGTTGTTTTCGCCACAGTCCAGATGCATTATTCTTTTTGAAATTTGTTTGTGTAATTTACATTTTTATTGATTTATTTAAAGAAAAATTCTGGTGCATAATAATGAAAAGGGTAAGACTACAGGTGTTATGGTTGAGCTGCTACCAGTGAAAAGTCACTTGTGTTCTGTGGACTAGCAACTTTCTCCTGGTTGTCATAGCAACGGACTGAAAACCCCCAATTACTTAGTTGTAACACTTAACATCGCACTACCTGAGAGCTCAAGTGATGTATAAATAGACCATAACATAATATTAAGAAAGTAAATCTGCAAAACAAACAGTTTGTTTGACGCTTGAACAGAATTGGTCGGTGAACATCATGGAAATATTCAACCCAGAGCACCATAAGAATATACATGATGACAATTGACAAGTCTTCCACCCTGAGCATGCTGTTACAGGATAGCTGCCATGGGAATATGCTCAATATATGGCAAATATCTATTTTTTTCACTGCAGTGAGATTCCAAAGCACAAAAAGCATCTCAAGCCTGAAATCATCCCCCTGACTGTCTCTGTCCTCCTGACAGCCACCACAACAGAAAGTTTACTCCCACCTCGGCAAAAACTGACACGCTGTCACGGCCGCGGTATCAGCAGAGGTTTCAGGTGTTGCTTTTTTTTTTTATACTCGCCCTGTACTCACATCTAAAATTTTGCTACCTAGACAGCCTCATGTGAAAGTGCCAGGGTTTGGTAAATTTCGCTCACAGAGACGTTATTTTCTATTTGAGACTTGCAGCTGTGGTGAAATCTCCACAAGCATGGAGAGCAAAACATTTCCCTATCTGCTGACTCTCACTGTTAATCATCTACAGACAGGTGTCAGTTATTTGAGTTTGGATATTTTTAGACCATGCAGCCAAAAGTGAAGACGTCCAGAATATGTTGTAATTTTCCTTTAATGAGTCAAAGTGGCCACAAAGGCTATTTGCTACAAGCACAAACCTCTGATGCTTCTTGCAATTTAAACCCCATAATGATCATAATAAGACAGACTGAGTCTTACTTATCCAGCATTTTTTCTAGTTGTTATGCTAAAATAAAAATTCAAGTGATGAATGTCTAAAGCCAAGAAGAACATATTTGATCGACAACAACAAAAAAGTTTTGTATTCCCTTGAATCAGACAAAGAAAGAATATTGTTGTTGATCAAACACTATCAAATATTAACAAGACACAACATTGTTTACATCCATATAACCAGAGGAGGTCTGTATTTGTGATCATTTGTCCACAGATAAGTCTACATGGTGGATAAATCTGTGTTAAAAAGAGCATTATTTACAGCTGTTTATCTCAGATCGCCACTTTGGAGCTATTTCAGTCAAGCTGCCATTTTGAAACTGCTCTCTTTTTTTGCTCTGCTGGTTAGATCAATTTGTCCAGCAGTCATATCCTTCTTACATTTAAGGAAGTTAACCTTATAACTAAATAGGTTTTTCACTTTAAGTTCCTTACCTTCCTCCTTACATACAGCACCATCATCACATTCTGCTTGTTCTTTTGTCTGGGGCTCAACAGAAGACACCAGATTCACTGAAGTGCTATGACATCTCATTTTCCCTTTTGACGTTTTCCTCTTTAAAAGGTCTCCCCTATTTACTTTGAAGGGACACGTTTTTGTGTATATGTTTGTACTGAAGTTGTGCAGAAGAACTGAGGATAAAAAAGTTGCCATTTAAATTAAGTGCTGCCACTTTGTGTTGTAAATCCTTTTAAATAAAGATGTTCTAAAAAACAATAAAATGACACACGGATGATATCTTTACACAAACACCGTTAAATTGATTCTAATATGCTGATGATTCCACTTTGAGTCTTTTAGGATTCATTAGACAGGAGGCCGTCCATCCATCCATCCATCCATCCATCCATCCATCTTCTACCCTTATCCCGAGTCAGGTTGCAGGGGCGGCAGCCTAAGCAGGGAAGCCCAGATTCCCAGTGTCCTGCCATTTCGTCCAGCTCTTCCTGGTCAGCTGAGACATAGGCTGTGTCTGAAATGAATCACTCAATCCCTAACCCCTAACCCCCATATGGGGTTTCACTATATAGATGACTATGTAGTGAGCTCAATCACCAGAGTTTTTTTTTCTTTTCAAGCAATCCATGACAGGATGCCCTCCACCAGTGAGTGACCATCGGATGGTCACTACATTTTGCAATGCTCTATGGGAAATTTTGAGTTGCCTATATGGGGCATTGGAATTGATCACTCAGGTTTCGGACACAATGGCACTAACCCCCATATGGTCGCTTATTTAGAGGTTAGGGATCCATTTCGGACACGGCCATAGTCTCTTCAGTGTGACCTGGGTCTTCCCTGTAGTCTCCTACTGGTGGGACGTGCTCTGAACACCTCACCAGCGAGGTGTCCAAGAGGCATCCTTGTTAGATGCTAAAGTCGCCTCATCTGACATCCTCTTAACACTGAGGAGAAGCGGCTCTACTCCGAGCCCCTCCTGGATGACTGAGCCTCTCAGCCACCCTGCAGAGGGAACTATTTCGGCCACTTGTACCCTGAGATCTTGTTTTTGCACTCACTACCCACAGCTCGTAACCATAGATGAGGGTAGGAACATAGATTGACTGGCATATCGAGAGCTTTGCCCTTCGGCTCAGCTCCCTCTTTACCATGATAGACCTGTCCAGCCAGATAGATCTGCCTATCGATCTCCCGCTCCATTCTTCCCTCATTTATAAACAAGATCCCAAGATACTTGAACTCCTCCACCAAGGGCAGGATTTCATCCCTGATTTGGAGTGAGAACTCCACCTTTTCAGGCTGAGAACCATGGACTCAGATTTGGAGTTGCTGATTCTCATCCCATCTGCTTCACACTTGGTTGCGAACTGACGCAGTGAGAGCTGAGGGTGACAGCTCGATGAAGCCGACAGGACCATTCACCTCATTAGTAGAAACATCTGATTTACTCTTTGGAACCACTCCAAAGTGATATTATCCGCCATTAGAGGTTCAGAAATAAGCATCAATTCAACAAGTGCTTATTTGTAAAACTGCATTTCACAACATATGCAGCTAATTCTCAACTTCCTGGTTATTTCAACCTTTTTTTTTTTTTTTTTTTTTTGGTTACAGACCCACATCTTCATCAAACTGTCCTCCATAAATGAGGGACAGCATGACCAGAACAAAAGCATGATTATGAAAATGACTTACTACCATGTAGAGCACTGCTGATCTCACAGCAACCCCAAAAATGAGCTGCAAAATTAAACCATAGTGCTGTTAATCGTGGAGAGGATTAAGGCTCTTATCCGACACATTTTGCCCTAAACAGAAACACTGCAGTTCTTGTGATCACATCTGCTGATTACTGTTGTGCAGCAGAGAAAAACCGAGGGATCTGCATGCTGTCAGTCAAGTTTGCGTTGCAAAGTCGGGTTCGACTGCACTTCCATCCTGATCCAAGAGAAAAGTTATTTTGTACATTGGTAAATATTCCAGCTGGTGTAAATATACAGTATTGATCTGTTTCCCATCTCTATTTTTCAAAGCATTGTTCATAGCCTGTCCCTAATAAAGACTGGGTAAGTTTAATAGATGAAGCTCATAAAAGCCTTTGCAGTAAACATCCCCGTAAAGTCTGAATTAATAAGACTGACCGTAGATATATAGAGTCCTGAGTATAATTGCTGTGTTTCAAACTAAAAATGACACAGCAATGAGCTCTGACTCTCTTTAATAACCCTTTTTGTACTTCTTATTGAGCAGTAAATTGATTAAGTTCTCGCTGTTGGATTAAAAAGAGAGTATGTGAGCATCACTTCAGAGCCTCCTGTTGAATAATCGTCCTCATTTTTTCCTTTTTTTTTTTTTCTTATTGCTTTGGGATTCTTTGCATAACAGCCAGCATTTGAAACAAATGGCTTTCAATCACATTTGTTCGATAGATCAGAAAGATTTCGCCCCCCAGCATTAATTGTCTTCAAACACTCCTGGGCTGTAATATGGTGGAGTGTAACAGCTGATTGCTTTGGTGGCATTTCAATCAGAGTCTCTGCCTGAACCTTTCAGCTCATTTTCACAGGTGCTGTCTACCCAGATGGCATAAAAATGAAAAAGGAATAGTCTCTGATGCAGCGCCTGGGATCAGAGGGGGATTATTCAGTTAGGATTAAAAACAACCTCTTGTTTCGTGTCTCTTTGTTTACTCCCCCTTTCTCCTTGGTGTTTTTTATCCTGAATATTACTAAAACTCACCTCCCATGGTACAGTCCAACTCCAGCAACTCCCATCCACCAATGTCTCGTTTTGACTCAGCTGGCTCACACAGCATGCAGCAATCTCATCACCAAGTCTGTAGGACTGAACGGGCCCGACCGCTGACAAAAAATGCCGACTCATTGTTTCATCTCAAGCATGATATAAAGAGACTTTATTTCTTTACCGGGGATTGTGAAAGGACTGCGGCGCAGCCTCACACGCACACATTTGGTGGAACTCAGACTGAGCAGTCAGCAATTCTAGTGTAATCCATAACCCTCTATTTTACATTCCCCTATATACTGCTTTTTTAATGCTCTCACAGTGATAAGCAATGAGTGCAATGGAGGAATAAACTTTAAGGAATAGGATCACAAGGGAGTAGCAAGACAATAACATCATGTTTGCAGAATATTTACATCAGCGACTAGCATGTGTAGCTTTTCATTGACTAAAAAGATGGTTGATAAAACCTCCTACTCCCACTGTGCAGAACAGTGGGTCAAAATACCCCCTCCAATGACAGGCACTGGCATCTTGCACAAAGCCAATGCAGCAGTTCTGCAGGCAGACGGGTAGATTATAGATAAACATCCTCATTCTCACCCACACTCCATGCTCTAACTCAATTGCATGGATTTCTACTAAATGTTTGGGGCCAAGGCATTGTTTGTTTATCTCTGACTTCAACACGGCCGCCTCTGGAGGCCTCTGGCCGAGTGACAGCTCAGACACCAAGTTCACGCCATTATTCATGAGAGCCAATTAGCTGGTGGACACCAGCAGCCTGCAGAGAGCAGATAGTGGAAGAGGAAAATTCATTCCTCGCTGGAACATTCACTGAAACCTCTGGAATTTCTTCCTGAGATTTCTAATAGTTTAAAACTGTAGAAAAAAAGGTAAATAGTCAATTAGCATATGCTTTTTTTAAGATTAGGGCTTAAGTTTGCAGACAATGCATGGTAGTTTTGCAGGTTCAGTTTCCTCTACACCATTTTTGTACAGTAAACTGGAATAAACACCATCATCTTGCAGCTAGACGTACATTTACTTTAATGCCTATATGCATATTTTACATGCAAAACCAAGTGGGCTGAAAACCCAAGCCAATCCACCTCCTGTTAAATGATTTTTCTGGGGGGTGTGGGTGTAATTAATAAAATCTTCCAAACAATGAGATTTAAGCGTAATCCAGCTCAGTCTGGAAACTAAGCATGACTAAGCAGCAGCATCCTGAGAGGATCAGGAGGGGACAGCATTCGTAGGAGGATGCTGCAGAAGTTTTTGCTGTTATCTGAGTAAATTCAGGCAGAGATTCTACAGTCATAAAAAGAAGCTTTTATCATCTTCAATCAGTAGACAGCAGAAGAGACACCCAGAGTCTGATTTACTCACTATTAAATGTCAGTAATTGTGAAAAGTTAATGAGGAATAAGAAGCGTTAAATTACTCTTAGTGCACCACTAAAAGAGATTCTCTCATTTTTATTTTGACACCAGCATGTTCAGGGAAAGAGAAGCCAACTCCTTTAATTAGTTTAGTGTGTTTGTGCTCCACTGGTGGCTCTCTGAACAACAATGAATCCAATCAGTCATAAACCATCTGGCACCTTTTAAAGCCAATCTGAACAATGTTTGGTTTTGGGTACAAAGAGTGCAAGGCTCCACAACAAATTTCAACTGATAGCTCTGTTTGAGGTTGTTTTTATTTCCATGAGGTTCACTGCTGCTTTTTCACCTCATACCGTGGGTAGCAGAAGATAGTCTTGATATTATAAATACTGTATATGCTTTTTTAGCCAAATCTAGTGAATCTTGTTTCTATGTGCAGCTGATTTGTTACAAAATCTCCCCTTAGGTTCTCAAAGTAGAATTTACACACCGACACTTTACCACACTGGTCCCCGGTTTGAAGCAAATGTGTAAGAATGCAGATGCTAGTGAGTAAGTAAACACCACCTTAATTTTCAAGGTGTCTGGACAGCCCGCCAAACTAGGCTTTGATTTTCCTCATTAATATCAAGTATTAGCAAGTTTACACAGATTGAATGATTGCTGGACTTCAAATAGGCATTCGAAGCAGTTGTTGTGGATGTCTTAGAAAGATCTGTGCTGTGTGGGGTCTTCTGGATAATAAGGGGGGTGACGCTGCTCCACCTGAACTCCCATACTTCCATTTGTGCTTGTCATAGTTAAATTGCTATTTGAATCTATGGTTGGTTGTTCTTGTTATTGCTGCAACAATTTTGAAGCCTCTACTGTTAACAATAGGTGTTCCACAAGGATCAGTCCTGGGGCCTGTTTTGTTTACCATCTATATCAGTAATATTGTGTCGTCTATTACTGGCAATGATGTCAATGTTTTTGCTGATGACACTGCCCTGTATTGCTCTGCTGGCTCTGTATGGTTCATTGTTGAGAGTTACAATTTTGTTTTTATGCCCTTTAAAGTTTACTGGCATATAAAAACAAGCCAAACTAAATTCATGCTTTTTTCAAGGGCAAGAGATATTGATTTTAGTAGTCTGCAAATATCCACAAAGGATGGTAGTACTAATATCTTAGTATTTGACTTGATGAATAATTTACTTTTGAAACGTATACTGAAAACCTCATCATCAACAAATCTGAGAAACTCAGATTTTCTTTTGAAACAGATCCAACATCCCTCTTTGTGAGGAAAGTGTCACTGAACAGTCTGTCTTTCAGTTCTAGACTCTGGTGAAGTTCGATATAGACACACTGCAGCCTCCACCCTCAAATAGACCAATAAACCCAGAGCCCTACGGCACTCATCATGCAACTAGGTTGGGTGGTCCTCTCTGGCACAGAAGCATGATGATTTTGTCACCTTTCCTCTGAATCTTTGGGCTCCAAATATGTTGACTTATTCACAATAGACTCTGGAGATGGACATTTGTTTCTCTTGGTTATTTTACTTTAGTACTTAAATGTTTACTTCAGTATTACTTCAGTATTGTCAGACATGGCTGCAGAGGGCAGAAATGTGGTGTCATTGTCACCGGGTTTGGTGACTCAACCTTCACTGTCACCCCTGTCCTGCCTTCACTGTTAAAATTCAGAGGGAGGTTTCGTCCCAGAGGCTCTTTGTTCATCCAATATTCATGTTCAGCCGTCTTCTGCTGGTCTTTCCCTATAGATTTCAACACCACAGAGACTCTGCATGAGCCAAACTGTTCTTCTTCTCTACAGCCTTGCAACATCAACTATTCTTTCTTTAATCTTCATCCATTTTTTGTAAGCTTTAATTATTCATCCTTTTATGAGTCTCTTTTCTCTGACTGAACCCAAAAACAGCCTCATGCATAAGCTTGTGTTTGGCTCTGGTGATTTTAATTTAATTTTTATTTAACTTTTAATCCTCTGCATACAGTTTATAACCATATAATGCATATAGACAGAGTATTTCAGAGAAAAGCATTTGTTTCCATCCCCTGTGGCAATCCGGGGGTACAAACAATCACTCACATTGACAGAGTCACTCAGTCTGCTATTGATCTCCATTGTGTACTTGGAGCCCTCAGATCAAGCTTCAGGGATTTCACACTTATGCTTTTGTCACATTGTTGTACTTGATTTTGATGAGGTAGAAATCTTTTCCTGCTACACATGACTTTTAGGTCATTTTCTGTCTCTGCAACATCCTTCACAGTTTTTTTTGATGGAGGACAAAGATGTTTCTGACCTAACACTGCAAACTGAGCCACATACTTTCTTTCATGAGTAAAAAGATCGAGACTTACATCAAATGTCAACCCAGAAGCTACAAAACTGCTGCTTTTTACTAACTATAAATGCCATTGGCACCATGGTATTAGTGGTTATATACCCATATTGGAAAATACTGACTAAACCCCACCTGTAGTCAACCTACGAACAATGAGGTGAAGTTTGGGCTAGCTCTAAGCCCCTAGGAAATAACAACTGTGTATCTATTTGTATGGCAGTTTAGCTATGCCTGTAATTATTTATTGTATATTATATATGATTTTTTATGTCTAAGTGTATTTTCTTAATTGATTGGCTTTAAAAAATGTACTTTCTGTGCAGTTTATAAGACCTAGTTATCAAGTTGCATACCCAAAACCATATTTTCAATCAGGGTGTAAATATGTTACTTTTTGTTGGAAAGTTGGGCATCAACATGGGACCAATGGGTATTCCTTAGTTTTGGAGCAAGCCTCAAGTGGACACATGAGGAACTGCAGTTTCTTTCTTTATTTTTTTTGTTCTTTTCCTTTTTTTTGTTGCACTTTTGTATTGACTTGAAAATGGGACACAAGTTTGGTCAATTGAGGTTTGCATCCAGTATACAGTACAGTCTGTGGACCTTGTTGTTGCAGTCACCGGTTTGATTCCCATCCCCATGTCAACCCCGATCCTCTATTCCCCATGTTAGTCCAGACTTCCCTCTCCCTGGTCACTCTGTCTGTCTCTTCCTGGGGTATCTTGAGGCATTCCTAGGCCAGCTAAAACACATACTCTCTCCATTGTGCCCTGGGTTTTCCCTGTGGTCTCCTACTGGTAGAATGTGCTCTAAACACCTCACCAGTGAGGCATCTGGGAGGCATCCTGATTAGATGCCAAAGCCACTTCATCACCTCTCTTCAGCCGTCCTGCTGTTTAGCTAGCCAACAAATTCCTCGTGTTTTGGTATGAGATTTGAAAATTATCCAATTATTGTAACCAGATCAATAACGTAAAAACATTTTAATTGTCTGGACCGAAACCAGATTAAAGGAAACATAGCCTTTGTGACTAAGAAATGACGAAGAATGGAGTCATTTGAAGAAAGGGCCACTGAAACAGAAACTCCTCATATCCTAATCACAAACCAGGGGACAGATGTTAAGTCATTTTCAATAGTGTTGACAACTTTAACTGACGATGGCATCGAATTGTGTTTAATTAGTAGAAGGCCAGAAGGCTTTTAAATGAGCAAACTTACTGTTAGCCTTCATTGGTATTAACACTCACCTGACTCCAGCTGCAGGGTTTATTTCAACCAATGCAATACTTTCTGGCTCCTTAGAAAGTTTCCTCATCAAGAACTTGTATGAAAAAAAAAAGTCAATCTGCTGGAGAAGTGCTACAGGAATGACAAAGGAGCAAGCCAAGTGTGGAATATACTGTACAGAGAGGAAGAACTAACAGACTGATAGACAGATGGAGGGAAATGGACTGGCAGCAGAGCAGGCAGAAGGAAAAGTGTATTGATTCAAAACATTGGTGGGTGAAGAGGGAGACAATAAGGTGGAGAATGAGTCAGAGAGGAAAAATTGTGAGGAACAATGTGTGACAGTAAAAAAAAAGAAGACATGATAGAGTGGAGTTTAAGAGAAGGTCAGATGATTAATCCACAGCTAAAATAAGCCCAGCGAAGAAGGAACATGGCAATTTAACAGCATTTTGGATATAATTTAATAGCACTGTAATGTTTCAGAGCTGGGATAAATTATCAAAATTGACCTCATGTTCATAATGATTCATAGAGAATCAATCCAGGACTTGTTTATTATTCAAAAACCACAACATTTTTACCTAATGTTTTTGTCGATGCCAAAAAAGGAAGGTAATCACTGTGTTGGAAGTAAATGCCCAGTATTAAACCAACAAATGAATCACGACCTAATAGCCTTTGGCCTGAAAGCCTGAACAAAGATATTACAAAAAATCGATGTAGTTTCAGTGACGTCATGCATTGGTTCCTGGAGAGGCTTTTAAGACCCGACACTGAGGGCTGGAAATGCTGAGTCATCCTAACTTTCAGTCAACCGCCAAACAAACTAAGAGCTTATGGCAGGAAACAGCAACAATGCACCCACCATATGACAATTAAGAGTAATAACGCGTCATTTTTAGGATAAAGGTTTTGGCCTTTACATTATGGATTATGCACATGTTAGCTGGTTGTTATGCTAAATAGACCCTTCACCGGGTGAGATTAGCACTGGTATAAGGTCCTCTTTCCTGTAAGTTATTGACACCTTCTCTCAGCTCAACTGAACCTCTAACACCGCCAAAATCCATATCATATCACAGGTCCTGGTTGCTTTGTTTTCCTCAATTTGGTTGATGTCTCTTTGTTTGTTTTGGACTCTTATTTTCTGCGCTTTTCCACAGTTCTCATTGTCCTGTCTGTGAAATGATTTGTTGGACTTGTACTGTGTGCACAGGTGGCACTGCATTAAAGAAGAGAAAAAGTGGAAATCATTGCATCAGCTCAAAACCACTTCCTGCACTTCTATTGTCTGGAAACACAGTTCATTGCTGCATTTACACACAAAGTGGAAACCGTATACATTAACACAACTTCTCTTGGCTTGGGCTTCATATTTACTATGATGAGGCAAAGTGGAAAACTGTCCTGTGGTCCGAGGAATCAAAATAAGACATTCTTTGTGGAAATAACGGATGTGGTGTCCTCCACTTTAAAGATAGGGACCTGTTTGTTATCAGCACAAATTTCAAAAGCCAGTAATTGTGATAATATGGTAATGCATTTTGCCAGTGACATGGCTATAGCTTACACATCTTAGAAGGCATCAATAATACTGAGCAATATATACAGGTTTCCTAGCAATATAAGCTGCCATTTAAACAATGGCTTTTTCAGGGAAGACCCTGCACTTTTTTTAAAATAGACAAGACAATGCCAAACCTCATGATAATACAGCACAGCTCTGAGGTAGAAGAGTCCAGGTGCTGAACTGGCCTTCCATTGTTCTGACCAGCCATCTACTCAAGACATTTGACACATCATAAAATGAATAAAGAAAAAAAAAATAATAATAATACAACAAAGGAGACTGAACAGTAAACATTCCACTTCAGAAACCGGTCTTCTAAGGTCCTTAGATATTTACAGAGAGTGCTCAAAAGGAAAGATGATGCAACATGATGCAAAGATGCTCCTATCCCAACTTTATAGGTGTTCCTGACATCAAATTGTTAATGATTATTTTGAGTAATGAGTACTCAAAATAATGAGTAATTATGGCTCACACTTTCAGGGAACATATTTTGGCACTTAGGTGTGCAATTTCTCACGGAATAGATGGCACAATCATGTGACCATGTTCTCATCTAAATATCAGGATTTTTTAATTTCACTTAATTTTTTTTACTTTTTTGTAGCCACTTTCCTTTTGCCAATTTCACCCCTAAAATTAAAGTTTTAGAAAAAAGGTTAAACTGCCTAACCTGTGCTAATTACAAGGAACTTTCAAGGGCTTTTTTTTCCGGCAGCCTCTATTGAAATTCAATGACAGCCCACATTAGGATTCACTGAGCGAACAGGCATCAACTTTCTCCTTTGTTCTTAAAGAAACCAAAACAATAATCTTTTGTGATTTATGTCAGATAGTAATGAAAAACATTGGGGATTAAGCCTTTTAGTCTCTGAGAAATATTCCCTTTAATGTAAAGCTGATCCGATGCTTCAGTCAATAAAACTAAATTTGCTGATTCGTCAGAAAGGCCAAATGAAAGGGATAACGGCTGGTAAAATGAGCGGCTCAGCACAAAAGCCAGTCGAGTCACATTCACACAGTCAAGGACAGAGACTTGTTTCCTCACAGAGAGAGACGGGGAATTTCACAAGCATTTATTCACTTAAGCTCTAACACTTTAAGGAGCTTTATTGTGAAATAAAGTCACCCAGACTTAGAGCTGTTAACCTGAGATGAAATTCATTAGTTTGGCTTTTACTTAGTGTCTCATTATAGTCCAAATCCTGCTTTTAGCAGCTTTTCTGCACTGAGGTGGATTAAATTCTGAGGGTAATTTATAGTTTTGCCAGTAAATATCAACAGTTTGAAAATGTCTGCTTTCCCTGCAACTTTCATTTTTGTTGTCCACGGGAATACAGACAACAGTTTTTGCAAAAATTCTCCAACCTGAAAGACTTTTTCAGTGAGCTTAAACTCTATACATGCTGGTTGAAGGCCAGAGTATAATTTAAGTTTGCAAAAATACCCACATGTGTAAGATAAGTGACATAATTTACAGCCATACAGTGATTTTGCTTCTGTGTCTATACCCTTTACTGTGCATCCTGTTTCACCAACCCTTCTTTATACTTCACCAGCTGTAAAGACAGGATATGGCAGACTTTAAATTATTCACACAGCTCTGAGCTCTTGGCATGGCTCCTGACAGCCGGCAAAGACATCTTTGTCATTGTCCTCATGAGAACTCCTGGCCTGGGGTGATATCTGCTGTGCATGACGATACAAATGTAATGTATCTTCTTTAGACCATGGTCCCCAAATGATAGTTTTCGGTCTCGGTGTAACTGATGGGTTAACCGGCGGACTTTTCAGATGATGAGGAAAAATGTGCCTTAGCTGGAGCTACAAGGTTTCTTAATTTGCAAGCGTTTAAAAGTGCTGCATCCCAAATGAGGTTCAGACGTTTGGAATTAGGCAAAGAGGTTCAGTTTTAATTAGTCAGGAGCTGCAGGAGTAAACAAGATGAGCTGAAACCACAGGGTGATTTAGACTCTGAAGAGCACAAAATTACCTCGGTTATAAATACGGAGTGAAAATCCCCCCCTCCCTTTTGCGCTTCAGGATTTCACCCAAAACTGTGTTGTTGGAATGAAACACACTGATGAGTAACCCCTGAATCAACAGGAACAGGTTGATCCATTCATAAAGTTGCACATGGTTCAGTTTGACACACGGTCCAGCTGATTCCACATCAGTTCTCGGCTGTCCAGCAGGTGTCATTGTTGTGTAAGGATTTATTCAAATGCAGGCAGTCACAAAGCATCACAGTTTGCAGGGTGTTTCTGCACGAAGGCACGCAGCAGTCTGGCATGTTTCCATGGAATAATATTATCTCCACTAAAGCTGATACTGTTAAGGCAGCTATTCAATACAGGAATTTATAAATTTGAGTGTGCTGTTGCTAAACAAGTTGGCAGAGAAAGAGGGAAAGACTCACAAGGGACGGGTAAAGAGAGAGAAAAGGGATGTTTGTTGTATTTATGGCGCTTCATTAAATGAGGGCGTCTCCCACTTTGGACCCTATTCCTCCTGATTCAGCTGTTCTGGGATCTGCTCTCTCGTGCGCTCTCTCTCTCTCTCTCACTTTCTTTCTTCATCTTTCTCTCTGCATTCTGCTTTAAGGAGAGAGAACCAGGAGCAGCTATAGCCACACATGCCAAGATGTGACTCCTCTGGTATCTTCTCTCTCCAAGTGTTCTCAAACCAAGTCTGAATTCTTTCTTCTTCATCCCCTTGTGTTCTCGCATCTGTCACTGTGTTTTCCACTTCTTTTCCCCAGATGTCCAAAGCTTTGATTGCATTTTCCTGAGATGTCATCTTCAGCACTCCTCCAGAACCAGCAGACTTGGAATTTTACGTCTGCTGGATCAACTGACTTTTTAAATCTTGGTTGATAAATCTTAAATGATTTAATGCTCAAGGTGATATATTTATGCTCCTGTGATGTCCCTCCTTCAACTTCATTACATTGAGTTTGTTCAGTGAATTACTGTAATAATGATAATTACCCTGTAAGGTAAAAAAAAGAGTGGAGCAAAGAAAATTTACTTCAAATTTTTTCATGAATTATAACCCATTTTTAACTTAAATCTTTGATTTATCTTGTGACTTGAGTCAACACTGTCTCTCAAAATTATTGTTTTTAAAGCTTTTAGTTTGATTTTTAACTCCCTGTTTTTGGATTCACAAAAATATGTTGGCTTTCATTTTCCAAGAGTGTTGAACCCTCTCTTCAGATGGCAGCTAGCTTACTAGCAGCTGCTTCTTCAACTTGCCTTCAAGGATCACTACGATGATCTCAAGCTATCACTGTATAGATATTTGAGCTGATCTGGTAATACTGGTATACTGCAACAGCCCTAATACAACTCAGTCAAATATAGTGTGTAAGATCATCTAAAAGACCAATTTAAAAAGAGGGACAAAAAAAAAGTTTTTTTTTTTTTTTAAATCAATAAATTCCATAGTCTTGGGGTTATAACAGTGAAAGAGATGTCAGTTTAACTAAAGATTCAATGGTGTTATCACCAAGAGGCTCTCATTGGACAACCTTAGCAGTCATGCCCAAGTGCAGGAAGTTCAAAGCTCAGAATAAACCGTCAGGACTAAGCCATGCAAAGTATTTGACGCGATCTTCAATAACTGATGAATGGAGTAAATAACTAGTAACTTGTCCAATGAGAAGCATATATGGTTAATAAAAAGACAAAAAGAGTGGGCTGAGAAATGACCCCTGAGGCTCCCCCTGTAATACAAGGGGTGTATCTATAACAAGTTACATGATTCCCCATGGACACAAACAAACCATCTGTTTGATAAAGATGATTCAGAGCACTGTGAGCAGAGTATGAAACTAACTATGAATCACTTGCTGAGTTGGCAGGTAGATGGAATTACAAATTAGGTTTTGGTGTCCATATTTGTTTCAGTACATTTTATTGAAATGATGATCTAGACAATAATGCTTGACAGAGTGAGTCAAAGCAAAACTTGAAAACAAATGTGAATTACTCAAAGCCTGTCCATCAACGCACTTTTATTTGTTACCCTACACCTGCGTAGCTCCAACATTCAGACAGCGGGAGGCCAAGAAAAGGAAGTTGCAGCTACACAAAAATGCAGTTAAAACTCAGCAGTTTTGTTTGAATGACATGACTATTTTTCTGGCAGTGTGCTGTGTAGCACTCTGAAATGTACTGGCTTAATGGCATATCTGCCTGTAATTGATTCTTGGCAGGACCCTGGAGTCTTCCCATATAATATACCAACATGACTATTGAACTTAGACAACGGGATAGCACGATCGATGGTTTCAAATACGATGCTTAAGTCAAATATGGCCATGATTGATTGATTTCTTTCAACTTGCATAAGTGGGTCACTTGTAACTCTGTCTGTATTATATCTGCATGTCTACTATGTCTAATTAATCACTTGCAGAGCATTGACAATCAAGGTGTTTTCATGCTGACATTTAGCTAAAGTGCAGCCTCAGCAGGACTGCTATGAAAGAGTTGTTTAGTTTTAATTTTTTTGGCTTTTATGTCTTTTTTTCTTTTAACGCGTCATGTGAGAAAATCTTCCCCTCAGCTTTTCTGCACATGTGTGGACCTGCTACACATTTCTAAAATTGAACCTGCATCCAGAGAGTGAAATCATTCCCTTGACAGATGTGTCTTCCATGAAAATATGTAATCAGAGACTTATTCATTCATAATTATGAATATTCAGCCCATGTATTAGAAGCTGATCAAGTTGCCTGTGCATTAAAATTATAATTTATGTCTTCTCAGTTTTTAATCAAGACATTCTTCAGCAGTCAGGATTTGATAAATACCCATGTCTTTGACGTAGTTTAAGAAACTTATGATAGAAAACAACCTGATTGGAGATTTTTCCCAGACCTCAGACTACTAAAAGGCCCAAAACACCGGTGAGAAACAGAAATTACAATATAACACAAATATTTAGCTGGCTTTGCTTTTTCCACTCTACCTCAAGATGTCCTTGAGCAAGGTACTTGGAAGGAAACATATCCAGTTTTCAACAAGCTTTTTATTTAAATGTTGAAAGTACTTGCAGATTACCTCCCTGCATGTGGCCCGCACTGAGAGCCCTCATTCAAAGTCTGCTCAGAGTTGCCCAATGTCATTCAGCTCCTGTTTGTACCCCTCCAACTGTGGTGTTTCGTGTGATTTTTCTTTTTGTAACACTTTCATCATATCAGAAACAGGTAGTGCTTAATGAAAGGTTGGAGTCAAATTCAGTAGCGTTTATTTCCCTTATTCGCTGCTTAATCAACGAGCCAAACTCATCATATCCTCGCAACTGACTGAAAGCCTTTTTATGACAAACAAAAGACTTATTATATGGGTATTGTATCGGCGTAAATACAAATGAGTGGATAAAAGCCCTGTATAAATTGGATGTGCATTATTTTCTGTGACGTTTGGAAACTGCTGACTGGGAAAAGCTCTCCAGCAGTCATTAATAATCACACTAACACACACTGAACTCTGCTGACAGGAGTGAATGCTCGCTGCAGTTTGTCTCTGATTAATAAATAAAGTCATTTTAGAGGCAGGATCTCTTCCCGGAGATATACTTTCAGCAGTTAAACTGTGGAGAAAATAAGACATAAGCTGTTTGTAACAAGGAAGTGCTGTGTAGCCGCCTGTTAGACAAAGGTTTCCACCTTTAAGACCCCCACCATAAAGACTCTGGCGTGTTCATTATGTTTTGCAAGCCGGTGTGTGAATGGCACAACAAATCCTCCAACCCACACAATCACAGGTTGGCTCTT